GCAGGGCGACTTTTGGCGCAGCTGACAGGTTTGGATCGCCATCATAGTAGGACATAGCTTACTGATTGGAATGGACACAACAATGCTTGGCAAGGTCAGTCTTTGAAGCGAGTGAGCGAAGGAGTGGTGATAAACAATCATCATTATGCCGGCTTAAATACTAGAATTTTACTGATAAAGACAAGGTTTTAGTCAGATAATCAGAAGGAAATTTAATTCAAAAATAATGAATTTTACTTACAAAAAAAAGTTTGCATACCCAGTTAGATACCTACTATTTTAATACAATCTATTTTAATTATACTATATGTAGTATGTACTTCCTTTCCTTAACTTGAGGATTACCTCATTTTTGGGGTATTTTAAAACAAGTATAGTAAAGCAGCTGGTCTATTATAGCTATTTCTCTCCCTGAGCTATAGCTATTTCTCTCCTTCAGCTAGTGCAAAAGGTTATCAGAGGCTGGGAGCGAACCAGCATCTTTAGTTGACCGGACTGGTGTTAACCATTACACCTACATCTATCTATGCCTACTGAATAGCCTCAGGAAATAAATAACTATCTATGTATATGCTTTACAATAAACGTTTTTAGTATCTTTAAGAAGCTTCTTTTTAAAGTTTTTAACTTTTGAAATGAGACTGTATATTTATTAAACAAAAAAATTTTAGAATTTAATTTTCATGTCTAAAATTGTTTCTAATCTCCTTAAATTATATTTAAGACAACCTTTTTATCATTTCTTTTTATTCAAATCATTTAATTTAGTAGTTATTTTATCTTAAATTTCTTTTTTGACTTAAAAATTGATAAAATTATTATTTATTAATGAAATTCTAATAAATAAAAGTATTTCTTTCTTCCTTTAATTTTGTTGCGGCCTTATCAGTGTTATAAAAATATTAAAAAAATAAATTTTTATTTATGTCAGCTGAAGAAAAAAATTTTTTCCTTTTAAGAAATTTTTGTCAAAAATAAATTTTTGATAGTTTTAAATGGCCACCCCCAAAAAGGCAAAAAAATTTTTTGTTTTTATAAAGCCCCGGCATTTAAGAACAAAAAACAATCCCTAAATATTTTTAACTATTTACGTATTTCCTCCCTTTTAAAGAAAAATACATATTTTAAAACAAAAATTAGTTAAACAAACAAACAAATATTTTGGTTATCGAAATATTTGTTTTTAAAAAATATTTAAATTGTCCAAAAATAATTTAAAATAGAAAATATCCTGGGATTTATTTGTTTATTCCTATTTAGATCAGAGTGGCCCTTTTGCCTCATTTGGGAGAAATTTGCCCTCCTTTCGACCTTCTCGCCCACTTTTTGCCACTTGGAAAGCAATGCCCCCTTTTGGCGATTTGGAAAGTGCCACCCTGATTTAGATATTTAATTAACTGGATAGTTAATGATCTTCCGACGGAGGAAGGGCCTGAGAAAAATTTTTGGGGGAGGTAGCAAGAAGAGGAGTATGGCTTGGAATATTTTTTCGATGCCATCGGGAACGAGGAATTTTCCTAAAAAAAGTCTCTTTTGGTAACGTGACCGAAAAATAGCCCTATGCACTTATCAGGGGTCTAGCCGACTCGATTCCCGATTCCGAAATTCGGGAATTTAATTTTGATGTCGGCTAGAACCCTAGTAGTTATCCATGTATAATTAACCTATTTAAATAGCCTCTATGTATCCTTGGCCAATATTAAATTACTAACTTTGTTTATACCAATGATGGGTCGGCATGAGTGAGAAAAAGAAAGTTTGATTGGGGGTTCGAATCAAAAAAGTTTGAGTTTTTCGAAAACCAGATCCATCTCTGATTTACTAAATTTAAAATACCCTTGTGAGGATAACATACCGGATATATACCAAGGCTGGATCCTCTTCAGCGTTTCGACTTCCACTTTTTTATTTTATTCCGCCTTCTTTCGCTTCAGCCTTCCGCTTTTTAAAAGTCAAAATTCTCCAGCCCTGATATATACTCAATTCTTATCAAAATTTATTTATTTTCTAATAATCTTCAAATTAAATTACTCATAATCAATAAAAAAAATTTTATTTTTACACGTAAAAATATTTGTTATTTTTAAATATTATTATTCAATCTATGTCTATGTACATATTATATAAAATTTGCATATAAATAAATATTTTTAATAATACATACAAACAAAATTTTTCTCGTTTTTCTTTCTCTCGTTAACAAATATTTATTTATAATGCAAACAAAAAGCCGCATTTTTCACCTATTTTTGCCACGTAAAAAAAATTTTTTTTTAATTTTATTAATATTAAAATCTCTTTTATATTAAAAATAAAAGAATTTTTATTGAAATTGAATCAAAAATTGAGTGAAAAATTTGTTAATTTTTATGATTAATTTACTCTTTTGTTATTTTTCCTGAAAACTACATCGTATTCCGCCTCTGTAACTTTTCCCCCACCGCTTTACGTCCACCCAAAACCCCGGAGGACTTTTTTTAGCTGGGTGCCTCGTCACTATTATAAACCAGGGTTTTTTTGGTTACGATACTTATGAGCAAATTACATGGGTTACGATACTTCTGTTAATTTACTCAAATTATTTTGTTAATTTTAAACTCTTCTCGAAAAAATTTTTCTTTAATTCAAAAGAGAATATTTTTTAATTAATGAAAATTTGACCATGACTCGGAATAAGTTCGGAGAATTGAACTGTGAATTCTAAAAAAATAGGGGTGGACGGGGATTCTCAGACAAAATTATTGAAAATATCAGGGTCTCTATGGCCATTATATCTGGGCATCCGAGGATATTATCCGTATTTGAGAGCATGCCTCATTCTTAATATCTAAATTTTTTAATTTTTATAAATTTCTTTTTTTCCACTCAACTTTTATTAATTAGTTAAAACGAATAAATTAGTCAAATAAATAAAAATTTGAGCAGGCAGCCAAACAAACCAAACGTTAAAAGCAATACGTTAAGCCATACTTTAACTTATATTTTATTATTATCTGATACCAAGTCAATACAAGAAAATTTTTAAATTTATTTCGATATTTATGTGGTCGTGTACTTTAATATTTCTTTACTTTAAATAGAATAAATTTATTTATTTAAGCTTTTAAATAAAAAATAAAAATAATTTAAAAAGAAATCTTTTATATTTAATTTAAAAAATGGAAAAATTGAGTGAAGCAATTGCTCATCGTTTACGAATTGAAAGTTCATTGATAAGAGAAGTTATGGCTGAAGTTTGTATTTATTTTATAAAAATTTTCTAATTAAATAATAATTTCATTTTTCCTTTTCTGGAGAAAATGGAGGGGGGGGGGGGGCTTTTTTATTTTTTAGCGAAAGGAGAAAAAGGGAAATTTTTAATTTTAAAATTAAAAAATTTTCAAAAAATCAAATAATTTATTTTTAGTTTGCTGGCACTCTCCTCTTTTTGGTTTGTTTTTACAAAAAAAAATTAAATTATCTCTTCAAATACATAAAATAATACTTATGTTTTAAAAAAATTATTTTTTGACTTCAGTATCCATCTATTTTGGACCAGAGGTGGGTCGGAATTCCGAGTTCCGAAAATTTAGGTTGATTTCCGATTTCCGACTTTTGAGCCATTTCCGACTTCCGACAGTTTTTCCGACCCGCCTCTGTTTCAGACCCGATTTTTTCCTAGAAATAGAAACATTACGAGTGTTAAATAAAAACTCAGAAAAGATATTCTTCATGTTGAGCATATGTAGTTGGAGGTAAAAATGCTAAAAATGTCTGAAATCAGAAATAGTTGCTGATAACTACCTCAGACTTTCTACAATCCGAATTCCTTAAATTATCTCTCTAAAAATTATTTTTAATTGCTAATTTTTATCAAAAAAAGTTAATTGGAATATCAGCAAATATCCAAACAGCTTCAATTGTAGCTATAGCTACACAAAATAATGCTACACAGACAACAATTACTCAATTACATTCATCTTCTCATTTAGGCAATCAATTGGGTTGGGGATTTGGTTTGGCTTTGGGGGTTTATTTGGCTTTACAGATATCTGGTAAATTTTTAAAATTTTGTCAGAATTTATGGAGATGTCCAAAACTCTTGTTTAGAGACAATTTTTATTCTTTCGATCCCGGTCTGAGCCTTTAAAGATTTTCTGTTTTGAACACCTATGAGAATCCTGGATTGGTTTAAGAAGAATTGTTAATAAATAATTTTTAGTTAAAATACAATAGCTCCATTACCCCTTAATGTTTTCTAAATTATAGGTCCTATCAAGAAGAAATATTATAGGTTAATTAGTTAATTACCGTAAAAACTGTATTAACTACCCAGGGTAATTATTATTTCGATCTCTCTCTGGAGGAGGTAATAAATAGAGGCGGGGTAATTAATAGACGTTATTTTAGAAAGGCTAATTATAAATATTTTTAAGGGAGTATTTATTGTTTCAACCTTTCACTGGAGGGGGTAATAAATAGAGGCGGGGTAATTATTTGAGGGAGGGATGTTAATAGTTTTTACGGTAGTTAACTTTACGGGATTTATTAAAATCTTATAAAAACCTTATGCTTCTTGTTATATTATTAGGTCCTAGCACTTTATCTCTAAAAAATTTTTTAATAAAATAAGGATTTAATTAAATTTTAAAATAAATTTTTCTCATTAAAGGTGCCCATCTAAACCCAGCTATTTCATTTGCCCAATTTTTACGAGGTGCTATTTCACCTTTACGATTTTTATTATATATTCCTGCACAATTAATTGGTGCTTTTCTCGGTGCAGCATTAGCCTTTCTTGGCCATTTTGGTTTCTTTTTAAATTTAATTTCTTTACATTTTAAATAATTCCCCAAAATAATTTTCTCGTGAACATTGAATTTTAAAAAGGTTTCCGACCTTAATATTAATTCCGCTCATTTCGTTGTCGTTATTTATTCCGAACTCTTTTGATACTCAAATTTTTCCCAGATTCGAATTTTAAGAAGGGAGATCCAGCTGGCTAAAATTTAGCGTTTTTAATGATCTTAAGCGAGGGTTTAAGATCATCTATTAAAAGAGAAGGTGAAGAGAAAGAGAAGAAAAAAAGAAAGAAGCCCTTGGTAGCTCAGTCTTCTACCTCTCCCTTCCCGTATAGCCCGATCAGACAAACTTGGAATATAAAAATAACAATAAATATAATTTGCTCAGAGAGTGGATTGCCCCCATCCATGTTCTAGATAAATAGCTCAAAAATTAATTCATTACATTTTTTAGAGGATTGCAGCCTCATACGTTTACAACGAGGCGATCAAGAATTGGGTAAAATAAATTTATTTTAAAATAAAAATTAAAACAAATTTAAGCCAGTCAATTCGCAACATATCCAAGAGATGTAATAAATTGTTCCTAAATTTGAAAAAAAAATTATTTATTTTAAAAAAGGGGCTAAGTATTTATGGAAGTATATTAGATCAATTATTCGGAACTGCTTTGTTAGCTGCTGGACTTTGGGCAATTACTGATAAAAGAAATAGAGTTCCCAGTGGTTTTATTCCTTTATTGGCTGGGTTAATACTTACTATGGTAAATTTTTTAGAAATTTTTAGAAATTGTTGTCTTTTTTTTGATAAAATAAAACGAAAAGGGGGCGAAGGAAGAGTAAGGGGAGCAGAAAGGGCCGAAGGAAGAGTAAAAACTAAATTTGATGCTGATCGAGATCGTTATCTCAAAAATCCGAAAACCTAAAAAATTATCAAGATCTCGATAACCAAGATTGTTGAATGGATCTCGTCTCAAATTTTTGATAAATCCATAATATAGAGGGTTGAAGTTGATAAAATAGAGTCTAGAAAAATGATTGGAGTTGACCAGAGATATATAGTAGTCAACTCTCTCCCCATTTTAATTTCTTTAATCAGAGAGAAATAGAAAATTTTTATAAATTTATCTACCCTTAAATTAGCCTAATTCCCCCCAAAAATATTTTTATTTATTTAGATTTCATTAACATTTGGCCTAAATGGAGGGTTTGCAATTAATCCAGCACGTGATTTAGGTCCAAGACTTTTTATGTTGTAAGCCTTATTTTTAAAAATAATTTAAAAATTTTAATTTTTATAGAAGTATTGGATTGGGATGGGGAATGTTTAGGTAAATTAATTACCTAATTAAAATAATCTGATAAAATTATTTTTAGTAACAATAATTTCTACTTTTGGATTCCTCTTGCAGTTCCATTCGTTGGCGCATTAATTGGCGCTTTTGTTTATAATTTATTAATTGGGTAAATATTAAATTAAACTTTTATTAAATTCTGGTTCCCACATGCTTTGTGGTGCAGGAAAATTTTTTGATTTTTTAGAAGAAAAATGTTTAATTTTAAATTCGTTCACCCTTCTTTTCTTTTTTCTTGCTATCACAAAAAAAACTTTCACTAGTTTTTCACCTTAAACTAGTCAACCGGTTCGGTCCGGTTCTGGACCGAACCGATGATTTTTCGATTCGGATATCGGTTCGGTTCCGGATATCCGAAGATTTTCCAAGAACCCTAGAGTTGGACACGACCGGTTCCAACCGGTATCCCCTTATTTTCGAGTTTCGCCGGTTTTTGACCCTACAATTTTCGGTTCCGGCTCGGTTAACCGTTTGTGCCCAACCCTATTTAATTACATAAAAAATCTTTTTATTAAACAAAAAATTCATTTTTTAAGTGTTCATGGTTTGGACGAACAAATAGAAATTAGTGGAGCAAATTATCCAAGGGAAAATGATCGTGGATATAAGGTTTTCCCAGAAGAGTTTGTTTTTGTTCATTTTAGTGTACAATCAAAAAACCCCAATTATGTATTCTTTAAACCTTCCTTTATTTTTTAAAGGAGTACAACTCAAACCCTGCCTCCGTGGGTGTCACCAGCCACTTGGTCTCTTACAGCAGCACAATAAATCGTTGAAAAGAAATGAAAAATTCGAAAAAAAACCTTAAAAACAATGCCAAATAATAATACAGTCAAACCTCATTTTTAGATAACCCATTGGGCTAAAAAATCTTAACTTATACTGAGTTGTGGGGATAACATTTAGTCAGACTTTTAAGTATTCATGGTTTGGAAAATAAAACTTTAATAAAAAAAATTTCTGGTTGGCCCTTAATTGGCCAACCAAAATTTAAAAAATGTATCTAAAAATAAGGTTCAAATATAATATTTTACTTAAAAAATTTTTTCTTTTAAAATTTTAACAAAAATTTAAAAAAATATAAAATTTTCCTAAATTTTTATTTAAAATTATTTTTAAAGTTTCTTAAGAGATTTTCCAATTTCAATATAAAAATTTATTTATTTATTACTAACAAAAATGAGCAACAATAATACGAAATTATATGACGAACATATTTATAGAAATTTAATAATTAATTAAATTTCTAGATTTTTGTATCAAAACTGACTAAAATTATTATTAAAATGTCGTCAAACAATAAATTAAAAATAAAATTAAAAAATAAATTAATTAAGTGGTCAGCAAGAGATATAAAAAATATTGGATTTTGTTCAGTTTGTGTCCCCAGTTTATTAAAATTTTTCTTTTGTTTCAAAGTTGGGGGTTTGGAATTCTCTTTAACGTTTTTTCGGTTCGGTATCAATGGCCAATTAACATCATATTAATTTTTACTCGATTTTCAAAAATTTCAGAAAACCCATCATAAGGATGTTACAGGTTTAAGCTATTATAATTATCAGAATTTAAAGCAATAGGCCTCTTAAGCATCCACAAATTTGAAAATCTAAAAGAGAATCCAATATACACATTTATGGGACACACAACCTGAACAAAAGCCAAAATATCTTATAAAAAAATAAATTATAAATGCTCATCTATAAAATGGCATATGGGAAATGCATAAAAATAATAAAAAAATTTTCAAAAAAACCGCTGGAATAAGAAAGATGGCAACTTATTTAATTAACAAAAATATTTTTTTAAGTATCTTAATTTTAAATTATTTAGATTCTAAACAAAAATTAATTATTTTTTCCTCTCCTTTTTTCTTGTCTAATTCCCTTCATTATCATCTACCCATACCCATTTACCTCGTTTTGTAGGGACTGTATTAATGTCTGCTAAAGGACGTGATTTTGAAGTTTGTTGTTGTTTTCCATTAAATTTTTGTTGATTTTGATAAAAGGATTGTTGTCTACTAATATTATTTTGTTGTTGATAATTTGGTTGCCAAGGACGGCCACGAGGAAGGTAATCATTGTAAGAATTAGTATGTGACGATTGTGATGGTTGTTGGCAATTCTTTTTAAAAAATATCGTTATAAATTAAAAATTTAATTTAAATAAAAAAAGAATTTTCCGTTGAGTAAAAATATGTAAAGCATATCCGCCCTCCCGAAAAAATTCTGGTTACGGGCCTAATAGCAGGGATGGGCCGGCTTCGGAGCGGATTCAAAATTTGTCTTTGGATCGGGTTTCGAGTCAGAAAAAAGTTGTGTTTAAATTCAAAAAAAGGTTCAACACATCATGGATGTATAAAATAGTAGAAAATCAAAATAAAAGTATTTTTCGAAAGGCTCAAAAAATTTAAAAAATATTCCACCACCCATACAAGTATAGAATAAAATAACATGTCAGTAAAACCCTCATATCTGTCTAGTAAACATTTAACAAATTTGATTAGATACCCGTGAATTCGAAAAACGCTCTGATTGTTGTTGATTTTGAAATCCACGTCGTCCTCGATCAAAATCTCGGTCTCTAATATGGCTATCATAACGACTTTGACGTTGTTGTGGTTGATAATAATCATTGCTCTTTTGTTGTCTTTGCTGATTTAGTAATTGTTGTTTAAATGATTTTACTGGAGAATCTGAATCATCAGAAGGCGGTCTTTTAGTTCCAATTTGAGGTTTTTGATAAGATGAACAAAAATTATTTTGTTGTCGATCGTGATAGCGAGAAAAAAACTTGTTGTGATCTCTATTAGAAAAGTTGTTGTTGCGGTATTGTGATCGACGACGTTCTGGTGATGGAGAACGACGGCGTGGAGTGCCTAAAAATAAAGTGTACTTTAGATATCCCTTTTGGATGTTAAATAATTTAATGGCTGATCTTTTTGAGAACTAAATAATATTCTTAAATAAGTTGAGAGGTAGAGGTTTTTATTCAGATTCTCACATTTTTCTAAATAATCCAATTTTAGTTCAGATGGGAAAAATCCTATAAAACATCACAACCTAAATTATAACCTAAAATTCTTAAGAACCCCCCAAAATCTAGACCAAAAAATCTTTTAAAATTATTACATGTTCTCTGTTGAACTTCTCTAAAATTATTAAAAGAGTTGCTATTGCCAAAATTTGTTGCTGATTTAATTCTACTAGAATTAAGCAGATTGTTATTCTCTTTATAACGTTCTGATGGTGCCATAGAAGCAGAACGTTTAAATTTAGGCGATTCAAATCGAACTCGTTTAGATGTATATTGTCCAAAATCGTCATCAGTAACAGAACTTTTATTAGACCGACCAGCCGAATAATGCCATTCACGATTCTTTTCTTGATTCTTGGGTGGGAAACTCCGTCCTAAACAAAATATTATTAATTTTTTAGTTAAAGAAAAATCTACTTTTCGTTGGTAGAGAAGAAATTGTAGCCATCCAACTCCATCTATGTTGCTGTAATGTTTCCGATTTTGATGGTGATGAATTTTCTACACTACAAATATCTTCTTGTTTAATATCCCCGTCAAAACTGTTGCTGTTCTGATCACGTACAATAAAAGGCTCATTATTTGTTCGATTATGAAAATGAGAATTAGACTCAGACGTTGAAGAATTTTTATTAGCTCGTTGTTGACGATAACTGTCTCTATCCTAAAATTTAATTTTTAAAATCTGTTTTGTAATTTACTGTAATGGGCCGGATTCTGGGTCTGTCTGTAGTTAAGGAAACCCAGGTCCTAAAAACAAGGAAGCTCGAAGATGCTTTGAGTTTCCTGACCCCAGATTTTTAAATGAACCGGATTCTGGGTCTGTAGTTCAAAAAAATCCAGGTCCTAAACACCAGGAAATCCAGGAAGCTCAAAAATGTCTGGGTTTCCTGGCCTCCGACCCAGCTCAAACTCGAAATATTTTCCTTAATTTTTGCCATTTTATATTCTTTAGCTTTTAAATAAATCATAAAAAAATAAAAACCTTATTATTAAAATTCTCTTCAGGTACTTCAGCCATTCCAATATGTAATTGTTGTAATAATTGTGGTGTTGATTGTTGTTCATTTTGTTGTTCTAAAGTCAATTCAGATTGAAATTGCTTCCTGCAAGGAAATTGTTGTTTTTGAATTGGAAAATCTCTTAAAGACATTCTTGTACTACAATCAGAAAATTCAGAATGTGTAGACCCTAAATGTCGCTGTCTAAAACCAAAATTGCGTTGAATTGGTGGAATTATTGCTGCTGATATTTTAGAATTTAAATTAGAATTACTTTCAACATTATTGTTAGAAACTGAAGATATTGTATTTGTTGAGTCTAAAGATGAATGTGAAGCAGAATTAGCTTGAGCATCTCCAATGTTAGATTCAACTGAAAATTTTTTAATAAATAAGTCGAAAAGAATTGCAAATAAAAACTGAAGGGTTCAATCGTTCAAAAAAAACAGAAACAAATAAAATTCTGAGGGAAATAGTTGGTATATGAATAAAAGCATTCTTTTATGGGCTATTTTTGGAATTTTGTTATTCACTGTATTCCCAAAATATTTGTTCACTCCGACAAACGCACAATACCGGATCATTGGTTCTTGTAAAGAGTTTGGGTATTATCGCCATAATTCTTTAACAGAAGGTTCCTTTGCTCCATGTGTACTTGCAAAAGGAAAAAGGAACAAGAAAGATAAGGGGTAGCAAGAAAGAGTACCAAAATCTTTCATTAACGTTTTCAAAAAATATTTAGAATAATAATAACCTTGAGTAACATTCTCACCAAGTTGATCAATTTTCTTTCGATATTCTTGTTCCATTAATTCAAGACCAGTAGCACTCGGCATAATACGTCTACCTGGACCAACAATCTTTAAACAAAATATTTTTTAAATTTAAATTAGAAAACAAACATTAACAAATTTTAATTCAACCAAAGCATTTAAAGTATCCAAAATTAAAGAATTTCCAACAGCACGTTTTTCAAGCAGTTCAATAAATTCCGATTCTAAAATATGTTCCGGGGCATCTTTAGGCAAATCAACTTTTTTGATTTCACTAGAAAAATTTTTTTGTACAATTAAATATTAGAATTAAAGGTAAAATTGAGTTCGTAAGCCCACCCTAGTATTTTTTCCTTCCACAAAAAATGGCCTGAGCTAAAATGTGTTCTATTACGTTCTAAAATGTATTCTATACCTTGTTCTATTACGATAAGTACCCGGCTCTGTTTTCTAGAATCAATGGTCCGGTATTAATGTTTATAGACCCCCCTCCCCAATTAAATATAAACTAAATACCAATTTATAAAAAATATTTTTTCTACTGACGATTTTACTAATGATGAATCACCAATAGAGAATACAAAAAATTATTCTCTACTGATTGATTGGATTTTTCAGAGTAAATAACCGAAAAATAATTTAATTAAATAAATCCTCACGTCACAAAATATTCTCTACTCGGATTTCTCTTTCGAAATTCCTCCGGCAATTGATCACTAACATCCGGTGGGCGCATCCAAGGCAAGTAAGTGGTAAAACCGGGTGTTGCCAGTACTTGACATTCACACATAAAACGTTCTGGACCAGCCTCAAACCTTTAAATTAATTTTTAAAAAATTTTAAAAAGAAAACAAACTCAAAAGTATGAACAGAATAAGTAAAAGGTTGAAGACAGGTAGCGAAAAAATATTGACAAATTAATTTCAACAATTCCATTTCATCATCTGAACAAATTTTAAAAATTATTTTTTACTTAAAAATTTTTTTTACTTTCCAAACATTGATCCAACATTGTTTCAAGACTTTCACTTGTAGACAAAATACAAGGATGAATTGGAACTGAAGAAGTGTTTGAATTAATACCACCAACAGATGTATTATTACTATTAAATCCTCTCAATTCTTTGCTTTTTGGACGAACAAAATTGGCGAGAATTAGCTAAAAAGGGTTGATTTAAAATATTTTTATTAATTAAAGGAAAGAGAAACTAGTGCAAAATAAACGCCTTAACGTGAAAAAATATTGCCAAATATTTTCTATTCGAAACTCCATTTTTATATAGCACTAAAGTTCGATAAAACTCGATATAAAATACAATTTAATTCAATAATTAGCCACTGGGTGAAGTAGCTGCCTAATAGTGTTTCACCGGAACCGAAATGTTGACCAGAACCGGGTCCAATTTGAGTTTCCGATCCCGGATCCAGGAACAAAAAAAATGCCGGAACTTTCCGAAACTTCCTGTGAAACTCTACTGCCTAAGCGATATTGGAAACTAAGACCCACTAGTCACAAGGTATTATTTTTGCGGCCCCAAAGAGTAAACAAAAAATGAGGTACAGCCTTATGAAAAGGTTGTACCTCACCATTAAAAATGCCTTACCCTTGTGTCAACGCGCAGCTTACAAAGTTCATCAGCTTGTTTAATAATGTTTTTGATAAAATCTTTAAAAAAGCAAAAATTAGAATTGCAATATTTAAAAAAACCTTCATTTGGAAATCCAGCAGGATATGCTTTAGCAAAGGTTGTCGGATTAGTTAAAAGCTTGCTTTTATGCAAACGATTTGCCAATTCCATTGTATATTTTGGAGAAAAATTTAAACGCTCGCTAAAAATAATTTTTGAAAAAATTTTTGATAAATAACCTAGCAATTCGAATAAGTGTAAATAAATTCATAGGTGCCGGCTGTTTAATTTCTTCATATCTTGCATTTGAAGAGACAAGTTTTGCACGGCCAAGTTTCTGAAATTTATAAAACATAAGATATTTTGGTACTTTTCCGTTATCCCTATCCCCTTTTGCGAACTTTTTTTGCGACTGTCTTGTGTACAAAATGGTCAGACTCCTTCCTTCATTAATTTATAAAAACCATTCTTTAAGCAAAACAGTCTGTATAAAAGGGGTAGGGATAATGGAAAAGTACCGATATTTTTTATATAAAAAACCTCAAGATCTCGAAGGCGTGAAGCAACAAAAATATGATTGGTTTGGTTAAACGGACCATCTTTATGACGAACAATAGCACCCTCTTTTCCCTGAGTTGCCGAGTTTCTGCTTCGCAAACGGCAAGTAATCTTTAAGAAAAAATTTTTTTTCCAAAATTTGAAAATTAAAAACCGTATATTCATCCAAATCTGTTTGCTTCTCTTTATTATTGTGATGTTCAATAAGTAAATATAAAGCCTGGACAATTACAGAACGAGAAACAGCAGGTGGTGGAGCTCGCACCAAATTACTGAGAGTTACAGCATCCTAGAATTTTTGGTACTTATTTACTTTATAAGTCCAATCAAGAAATAATTGGATTTTTCTTGGTGTTTCAAAGTAGGATATTGTTCCAAAACATTTCTTCATTTCTGGGACCTACGCCCACTAGGTCTGGGACCGTTCCTTATTCTATTCTCGAAATTTATGAAAGTTATAGCTAATTGTTTAAAATTTCAGAAAAACAATTTTGACTTTCCGAAACTTCAAGGGATAGGGTAAGGAACGGTCCAGACCAGAGCTGCACGAAAATGAAATTTTGCCCTCAACGAAACGAAAACGAAAAAAATAAAATCATCAATGTACGAAACGAAAACGAAACGAAAAAATAAATTTCATTTTTACGAAACGAAACGAAAACTCTTAATTTTCCACGAAACGAAACGAAAACGAAACGAAAACAGTCAAAATTTTGAATCTTTAAATTTTAAGTAGATAATAGGTTTTTCGAGGTTGTACATGTCTAAATGCATCAAATATTTGGTTGAATTCAAATATTTGCCTCCGAATCCTCTGATATCCCTTCAAATACTTTGATATCCACTTAATCCATCATATTTCTTGATATTCCCGATTTAGGAGGTAAGAAATATATCGGGTGATTTGGAGTAATTAAGAGGAAGTGTGGGATATTACTAAGTGGATTAGGTTGAGATATTTAGGGGCTAAGGGATTTAGAGATATTTGAAAAAATTTGATCTTTTCCAAGAGTGATAAAATTTGAAATTTTTTAGGTTTTTTGATCAAATAAAATCAAATAAAATTTGATCAAATATTTAATTTTTCAACGTCAAATATTTGTTTGTTCCGATCTCTAATTTCCATCACTGGAGATGACTTAAAAATTTGACATAAAACCTAAAAAATTTCTAATTGTACGCCTTAATCCACACAATCCTCCAACCTCATTTGAATCCTGATATATGATACATAATTTTGGGAAACATACATACATCTTACAATTAGACTTAATCAATATATTCATTTATTCTACATGTTTATTCACTATATAAAAAATCAAGGGGATTTAAGTGATATCAGAGGAGGCTACAACTTACAAGTTTAATATTTTTCAGCGCCGCAGGCGAAAATTATGAGAATTTTAGAAGGCCAAACATCCAAATTTCTTTTGTTTTAAGCGCCGCAGGCAAAAATTTTAAGAATTTTGGCTTAAAAATACGATAGAAAAGCAAAAAAATGTCTAAAATATCAAAAATATTTTCGTCAATTTTCGTCCAAAAATGGCATTTTACGAAACGAAAACGAAAGAAAATATTTTTTCAACGAAAGACGAAACGAAAAAAAAAGTAAAAAAATTTTCAAACGAAAACGAAACGAAAATCATAAAAAATCCACGAAAATAACGAAAAACGAAACGAAAATTTTCGTGCAGCTCTGGTCCAGACCCAGTGGGCGTAGGCCCGAAGATGAAGAGATGCTTTCGAACCATACCCTTACTTTACAAAACCAAGAAAAATCCAATTATTTTTAAATTGGACTCGTAAAGTCAAGTAGTGCAGAAACAATTTTTTAGAATTAAATCAAAATATGTAAAAAATCTGACCAATTCACTATTCAATGTTTCTTTTTGTTGATTTTTGGAAGGTGAAGCGTTTTGTGTATCAACATCACCACTAAATACCTCGTCACTAATTTCACCTTCATCGACTTCTTTGTTCAACTGTGAACTTGTTGGAGGTTGAGGCCCTGTCGGCTTTTGCACTTCTGTGCAATCAATTTGTCCACTAGTAGAAACCATAATTTTTAATTAATTAATATTAATGATACAATACTTAAAAACCCTGAAAAATGTTATGTATTAATTTTCTAAAAAAATTCCTCAAAATGAAAAAATGGGAAGACAAAAATTGGTTCTTGATTGATATTTCTTGGGGACAACCCAAAACGGCGCGCGGCTATAACGGCGCGTGCCCATAACTAGCTGGAAAATTTCTGGCCTCTATCAATTTTGTAATAAATCTCTTTAGATCGACGAGTGAAGTCGTTTAATACTAAATTTGTTAAGATTCGGAAATCTTGAAGCAAGTTATGGCTTTGCGCCGTAATGGTCGCGCGCCGTTTTGGGCGTGTCCCACATTTCTTTAATTTACTGTTTTTCGGGTACAGCCCATAAAGGCGCGACCGAAAAGACGCAAGGCCAAAAAAGCGCACGAGTAAATCGGCGCAACCGTCGGAACAATCGGAACAACCTTGTTGTTGGAAAAACTTTTTTAATGACTTATTGTTTCAATTATTTTTTTCAAATTTAAGATAACCATACTAATTCTTTATGTTTTTTTTCAATTTCAGAACCTTCAATTACTTTTACAACCTAATTATGTCAAGCTCAGACGAGAGTACAAAATCTCGGGGGGTGCGTGCTGGAGCTGTACGGTTGCGTGATTCTATACGTCCAGCCTTTGCTGAAGACGGTATAAATATTTTAATTATTTTTTAAAATCCTTTTTCCTTCAGTTTATGGCGGCCCTCGACGCTCATCTTCATCAGAACCCAGATTGCCTAGCAGTAATGCCCCAGCTAACACAAACGTTTCCTCGGCTGGTAGCGACCTTTGTATTTCTGCACTAGCACAAAGACGTTCTGCGAATTTACCAAAGTTGCGTGAGCTATGCTCCGGTACTTCTAATGAATTAAATATTTCTTCAACTGAATGTCCCTTGACGGTTTTTTTTGTAAAATTTAATTTAAAAATTTTAATTTTACAGAGTGCGCGCGCAAATCTGATGGATGAGTTGGAATTTGTTTATGCCGACGCAGATTCCTATGAGACAGAATTGGCTGAGTTTTATACATATTCAGAAATGGATGAATTTGCACTAAATTTTGAATGTTTTGTTAAATATATGCGAGAACAGAAAGTTAATTTTACATTTAAGTTTAAAACCCCCCATTGTTTTATAGAAAGAACCATTTTGGAATAAACTTACAAGGACTGAGAAATGTTCGGTTATACAAGGATTGGCTGCTAGTTTTGACAGTACTGAACCGGAGCAACGTCTTCAAGCTGCTCGGATTATTCTATACATTCTTCAAGTATTTTGTCTTTTTAGCTCTAAATATCAAAATGTTTTCTTAGGGTTCCTATGGAGATTTTTCTGAATTGGAAGGCAAAAAACAAAAGGCACAATCACTAGCAGATTGTTCTTATCATACAAATAGTCGCAGTAAACAACGTCGGCGCCCTTCCTCATCTCACAATTTGGGTGATATTGTTGAAAATAAATCCTGCAACGATGGAGATGATGACAGCAAAAGTATTGATAGTTGTGAAACAAGAAGCGGAGAAGACGAAAATGAGACAACGAGTGAATTAGGATTGCCTTCAAAATGGTTTGGACCCGACCATGGAACGGGTGATTATGAATCTGATTGTTTGATAAATGCTACTTTAAATGCATATCTCTTATATGAACAAGGATTGTTTCAGGTCTTTTTTTTGGATTTTTATATTTTTAAATTAATCCGCGTACTTTTATTATATTTTCTAATTAATTTTTTCAAGCCGCTCTGTTCTCTTCTGCGGTTGGAAGTGTCTTTACCTTTTGAACGGTATGCCGACCATTCTCGTCAATCTAGTGTTTCCAACTCACGTTCAACTTCTCATATGGATTTAACGACAGGGATACCTCCCGAAGGAGGCGGTGGATCTGCTAGCGGAACTTTCGAACGAAGACGTTCTAGGCGTTCGGCAACTTTGGCCGATAATGAACGTATTCGTGTCGTTTTGAATTGTATATATCACATGGTTTGTTTGCAAAATAAATTTTAAGGGAAATTTCATTTTTAAAGGTTGAGTCTTTACGTCGTGATCTGATAGCGGAACTTTCGAAGGAGCAAATTTTTGATGATATTTGTGCCATGTTTGAATACCAAAAAACAAGATATCAATCACCGGAGCACCAAAAACAACGATATCAATCAGCGGAGCATACTTTCTCTCATTCTAGAGTATCTTTGGAAAGGGGTGGCCAATCTCGCTTGAAGACGCTGAGGACACAATTTATAACTGAATTAGGTTTTTGAAAACGTTGAGCTTAAAAATATTTTTATATAATTTCCAGAGGAACCGTTAGAGCACAGCAAAATGCCATTAGCAATTGTTTTGCTTGATATGATGCCTACTTTTGTTCGTGCCAAGAATCCTCATTATCCTATTAAGAAGGTTTAACTAATCTCCTGTTAAGTTGGGTATATTAATTTAAAATTAGGTCATTTTACTTTGCTGGAAAGTATTACTGACAACACTTGGCGGGATTGAATTCCTTCGTGAAGAGAAGACCCGTAAACGACGAGATGCATTACTAGAACCTATTGAAGATACGCTCGAGGCAGCCATTAATATGAAGCCACTGACTCAATCAACTGGGCCTTCTATGGGTGGAGGAACTGGAGGAGAAAGTGCTCTAAAAAGTTTTGTTTTAATTTTTTGTTGAATTAATGTATTTTAGGAGTTGTTGGCGAATTAGGGTCAAAAATTCGGCTAATGCCTAGAGCTAGGCAATTTAACCGTCAAGTTGCGTGCTCTTCTGCCACTGATGGCGGTAGATTTATTTAATTATTGAACAAATACTAATTAATTTTAAAGGTTGGGAGAATAAGGAAAGCATAACTGACGGAGGTTGGAAGAATAAGAAGAATAAGAATAGCTTCAAAAACAAAGAGAGGGATGATAATGAAATCCTAGAATCTAAAGAATTAATTTCAAAATCTGATGCTGATAGATGTGATGATGAGTTTGTTGATGTGAATGATGCTATGCCAGCTGATGATAATAATGAGGAAAAAGGAGGTGAAGATGAAGAAGAATATGGAGAGCAAGAAAAAGTAAAACGGAGATTTAAGATTTTTCGCTTTAATTATTCTTATTTTTTAGTTTTCTGAACATGAAATTAAGAAAATGGCAGCTGTATTAAAGAAGCCAGAAGACGCTGATTTACTTGACGAAATTTTGAAAGAATTGTCTGTAGACGAAGAAGATGTTGAGGAAGGAACTAAGAATAAAACTATTTCTGAAGATGCAATATTTTATCGTGATCGTGAGCCCTTTCGTTTACTTCCAAAAGGTGCAGTCAAAGATGACAGTGAAGCTTCTGGTTTGAATGATACTACAGCAAATAAGGTTTTTAATTGTAAAATATTTGTTCCTTTATTTTTGACTTGCTACAATTTTTTTATATTTTCAGCAACAACAATACAATCGTCATCCACTTGTTGCTGTCCAAATCAGTGAATCTTTAATTCGTCGGCACAAAAACGAGTGTAGTGGCGATTCTTCTAATGGTGGAGGGGATCAAACACCAAAAGCATGCCAATCTCCTGTGAAGATCGCCAGTCCATGGCCCCCGCCTCCGCCGCCAGGTTTCCATGTTTTATGATATATATTTACTTATTGATCTTAGGGCTTCCCTGGCGCTCTAAGGTTCGTGAGGAGGATGTTAAAAATTTTCTGCAACACGCGCGGTTATAAGTGTTATATTTTTGTTAATTCATACCTTCAATTTCAGCCAAAAATATTTCAATTATCAATTACCTAATGATTCCACTACTTTATTTGGTTTACCAATGCCTGTTCAAACAAGTGTTGCCGCTCTTCGTCGGAATTTATACACTTCATTGGGTGAAGTTCAGGTTGAAATTTTATTAACTACAAACTAGAAGGCTTTATTTTTAAGTTAAAAGCAGAAGAACGTTACAACAAATATCCATTTTCTCAAAAAGAATTTATCGAGGAAACACCTACCGAACGATTATATTCACGTATATTACCTGAAATGGCGGAATATGTAATTGCAATACTTAAAGTAATTCTCGCATCGTTGCCTTCTTCAAAGGTAATTTTTTTATCGTTTTATAAATTTATTAAGTGTGAGATAAATCTTTAGCCCCGGGCGGGTAAAAAATATTATACATATTTTTCCTTCCATGACTTCTTGTGATTAATGCTGGGTTCCGCTTACAACGTGCAGGAGCTCTCTACCGACATCTACCGAGACGCTCTTTCTCTCTAACAATAAGCTTTTTATGCTAGCCTGCTGGATCTCCCTTTTTTATATTTTTTTTTATTTTTAGGCAAAGAATGATGCAGTAACAATTCTTTCTGATGTACTCACGCCAGAAACTGATACAAATGAGTGAGTTTTGGATCCTGACTTTTGGATATTTAACATTTTTCTAGGGTTTTATCCAATTCAATAAGTCTCGATCTTGCTCATCTGGGCACTGGAAACGTGCTTGAAGACAATATACGTGTGGCGATTGATATAAATAGACACAAAGAGGTCTCTTATTTTTAAATAAGAACGTTGATTTAAATAATTTTTAGTTAATTATCAAAGGAGCGTCTTCAATAATTATCTTGTTACTAAAACATTTCCGCCTGAATCATGTCTATCAGTTTGAAAATTTTGCTCAATATTTGGTAAAAAATTTTCAGATATTGATTTTTCAAATTTAATTCCTTTAGATATTGGCAAATTGTATGCCTTTAGTGTTGAAATTCCTTGATCAAAATATTTGCCGTTATTTCCAATCCAAACATGATTTGGCACCCTTTAACTATCCTCAATGTGCACTTTATATTGTGAGAAACGGAAGTGAGTTAGAAATAATTAATTAAAATTATGATTTTCCTTAATTAGACGAACGTCCACCACTAACAGCTGATAATGTTGATGGTGGGACTAATACTGAATCTCCTGGATACTTTCGTTGGAGAAATATTTTTTCAGTAAGTGATAAAATTTTGTAGATTAAATTGTTCTTTTTAAAGGCAATTAATCTGTTGCGTGTTATAAATAAACTGGTTAAAGGAAAACAAGCACGTACAATGATGTTGGTTGTTTATAAATCGGCGCCTGTCCTTAAACGTTGCATGAAAGCAAAACTTGTCTGTTTTCTTTGAAAATAATTTAAGATAAAAACAATTTTTAAGGGAATATTTCAACTTTATGTACTCAAACTTCTCAAATTACAAGCACGATATTTGGGCCGGCAATGGCGCAAAACAAATATGGACATTATCTCTGCAATTTACATGAGGTGTAGACATAGACTTAATGATGATTGGGCATATGCAAATGAGACAACTCGAACAAAATCTTTCGATTACCATAAAGAAGAGAATGAATTGAGTATAGCCATAAGAAGATTTAATACAAGGCGATATCCATATCTTCAATTACGTGGTGGTATTGCTGTTGCGGACACTTCTAATGACGCTGGTACTGAATAATATGGGTACTTTGTTCATAAACCACCCCCACCCATATTTAAGTCTCAGATTAATTTTCCTTTTATTCTTTCCTGCCCCGGAAAGGTCAAATTTCCATCCTTAGAAATGATGATTTTGCTGTTAATTTGATTTAACTGCTGCTTCTATTTTTTCTTTCCAAATAACTTGCATTTTAATAAAATTTTTGATGGAAATAAATGATTGGCAATAATGAAGGAAAATTAATATGAGACTTAAGGAGGGGTGTGGAGGTGGTTTATGAACAAAGTACCATAACATGTATTTGAAAGATCATTAAATAATTTTTAGAACATCCGTATCAACAAAACAATCAAATTAGTGATATTCTTTCACACTCTTCAAGTCAATTGGATGAACTTGCTGGTGAATGGGACCCTAAAGTTTGGGAGCCTATGGACAATGTTTTTAGATAATTCTGTTTAAATCTAATTTGTATACTTTTCAGTCTCTTCAAACTGCTTTGGCCTGGGAACCAGTTTTTAGTGATCGTTTTCTCCAAAATTATGAGCAATGGTTGGAGCAAGAAGTATATGGACACCAAACTGATTGGGATGGATTATTATTAAAGTCACGTGGTCTTTTGGACATTTATTGTTGAGAGAAGATAAGTAAATATGTTTCTCATCTCATGTCAATAATACAATATTAACCTTTTTAGTTTTTTTGTTCCTACATATTTCTTCAGTGTTTAATCCATATTTTAAAGAAGGAAACGTTTTGTTCTGTTTTTTTTATAAGTTTGAGCTTTTTTCTCAATCTGGTCAAAATTTCAGTTCCGTATTATGTTGACAGAACATTACACCCTTTGGATTAACTGCAAACCACTAACATATTTACGCCTTGTTTATTTAATTTATTTTATTAACGTTTAAAATAATTATATTCTGTAAGACTTGAGTACTAATCTCCTGAAAATTAAATAGAAAGAACGATAAAAACGTGTTGTGAGCAGGGGTGGGCGCAAGAGGCAATCGTGAAAAACGCAACGCAAGGCCAAAAATCAACGCAAAACGCAAAAAACGCAAAACGCAAGAACGCAAAATTCTGAAAAAAATTTTAAATCGAGTATTAGCCATTTTTCAGTTAAAATAGAAGTATTACTATAAGTCAGTGAGTCCTAGTTGATCTTGTGATACAATTAAGTTGGATGGGTAATGATTTGAAGGGGATACAATGGGATTATGAAGGATATTAGAGGATTTAGAGCGATTATGAAGGAGGGATCGAGGAAAATTGGAGGGATCAAGGAAATTTAAAAAGATACCATGCGATTACTGATGAATGTCGGATGGGTTGGGGAGTAGCGGAGGATAAATGCCTATCTGTAATTCTCAATTGATACCGTGGATATCAGGGGATTTGGAGGGATAAAGGGAGATCGGAGCTCAAGATATTGAACTGATATTTTTCTGAGCAGTTCCATGATCTACTTTTAGCGCCGCAGGCGAAAATTTTGAAAAATTTGGGACCAAGAAGCCAAATTTCTTCCTTTTTTAAGCGCCGCAGGCGAAAATTTTGAGAATTTTGGAAAGTCATAAGCCTGATTTCCTCAAGATTTTGCCCTCAGATTGGGTATATTTCTTGCGGTTTTTTGCGTTAATTTTGGCCAAATTTACGCAAAACGCAAAACGCAACGCAAGGCCAAAAATCAACGCAAAACGCAAAAAACGCAAAACGCAATGCGCCCACCCCTGGTTGTGAGGGGGTATGATTGGTTTTGTGGGAGTAGTATTTGGCATTCTTGGCTGTCGTTCAGATTATTAGGGATCCGCGAGAAACAAAACGCCAGAGGGCTATATATGACTATTCATCCCCTCTTTTTATTAAATTTCATTTCTCCTCATGTATGAATATCCATGATTTTGTTATTTCATTTCGCTTTAGATTTATGCTTTTATAAAATTCATTTCTTGCTTCTAGGCTTATTTTTGTTTTTATTTAAGTTCACATTTTTCTTAAATCTCAGATTTTCTTTAAATTTTTTAACAACAAGAATTTAATTGTTATAATCGGTTTCGTGCACGCGAACGAACAACTATGGATGAATTTAATTTCAATTATGCTGACGCAGATTCCTATGAGACAGAATTGGCTGAGTTCTATACATATTCAGAAATGGATGAATTTGCACTAAATTTCGAATGTTTTGTTAAATATATGCGAGAACAGAAAGTAACTTTTTACATTTAAGCTTAAAACCCCTCTATTGTTTTATAGAAAGAACCATTTTGGAATAAACTTACAAGGACTGAAAAATGTTCGATTATACAAGGATTGGCCGCTAGTTTTGACAGCACTGAGCCAGAACAACGTCTTCAATCTGCTCGGATTATTCTATACATTCTGCAGGTATTTTGGCTTTTTAAACTAATGTAAACTATATTTTCTTAGGGTTCCTATGGAGATTTTTCTGAATTGGAAGGCAAAAAACAAAAGGCACAATCAAGCTGCTCTGATTGTTCTACTTGTTCTGAAGCAAGAGATCTCGACAAAGAAAAAGCGAGCACTAGTGAATTAGAATTACCTTCAAAATTGTTTAAATCCGACCATGGAACGGGTGATTATGAATTTGATTGTTTGCAAAATGCAACTGCAAATGCTTATCTTTTATATGAGCAAGGAGTATTTCAGGTCTTTTTTGTCGTTAAAATCTATTTTACTAGTAAATGAGTTTAATGATATCTTTTACCACCGTTGGGCATTAACAGATCCGTCATGAAATTTCTTTCCCTATTGCGGCTTTTCCTATTTTATATTTTCTTTTAAGCCCCTATGTTTACTTTTGCGTTTGGAAGTGTCTTTACCTTTTGAACGATATGCCGACCATTCTCGTGAATCTATTGTTGCTAATTCCCGCTCAACTTCTTGTATGGATCTAGCGACTGGTCTCAATGGAGGCGGTGGATTTGCTAGCGGAACTTTTGAAAGGCGTTCTAGACATACAGCTACTTTGGCCGATAATGAACGAATTCGTGTTGTTTTGAATTGTATATATCACATGGTTTATTTTTAAACATAAAATAAAGAGAATTTCATTTTAAAGGTTGAGTCTTTACGTCGTGAAGAAATTGTTTATAATTCAGTTTGTCTCTTATTTGAACAACAAACCCCGGGATATCAATCGCCGAAGTATACTTTCGATCTTCTTTTCGACGGGAATATCCACTCTCGCTTAGAAACGTTGAGAAAACAATTTATAACAGAATTAGGTTTTCATTTTTAAATCGGCTATACTTTTTTGTTTTATTTCCAGAGGAACCGTTGGAGCACAGCAAAATGCCATTAGCAATTATTTTGCTTGATATGATGCCTACTTTTGTTCGTGCCAAAAATCCTCATTATCCTATTAAGAAGGTTTAATTTATCTTTGGTTATCTATATTAATTTAAAATTAGGTCATTTTACTTTGCTGGAAAGTATTACTTACAACACTTGGCGGGATTGACTTCCTTCTTGAAGAGAAGACCCGTAAACGACGAGATGCTTTACTTGAATATATTGAAGATACGCAACATGTATTTTCTCTTTCTAGGCCTAAAGTTCGTGAAGAGGATATCAAAAGTTTTCTGCAAAATGCGCGGTTATAAATATTATATTTTATTAAATCAAATTCTCAGTTTCAGCCAAAAATATTTCAATTATCAATTACCTAATGATTCCACTACTTTGTTTGGTTTACCTATGCCTGTTCAAACAAGCGTTGCCGCTCTTCGTCGGAATTTATACACTTCATTGGGTGAAGTTCAGGTTGAAATTTTATTAGAGAACATTTAAGAACTTATTTTTAAGTTAAAAGCAGAGGAGCGTTACAACAAATATCCATTTTCCCAAAAAGAATTTATTGAGGAAACACCTACCGAACGATTATATTCACGTATATTACCTGAAATGGCGGAATATGTAATTGCAATACTTAAAGTTATTCTTGCATCGTTGCCTTCTTCTAAAGTGAATTTTAATTAATTTCATAAATTTTACTAATTTTAGGCAAATAATGATGCAGTAATCATTCTGTCGGATGTACTCACGCCAGAAACTGATACAAATGAGTGAGTTTTGGATCCTGACTTTTGGATATTTAACATTTTTCTAGGGTTTTATCTAATTCAATAAGTCTCGATCTTGCTCATTTGGGAAGTGGGAATGTGCTTGAAGACAATATACGTGTGGCGATTGATATAAATAGACACAAAGAGGTCCCTTATTTTTAAATAAGAACGTTGATTTAAATAATTTTTCAGTTAATTATCAAAGGAGCGTCTTCAATAATCATCTTGTTACTGAAGCATTTCCGCCTGAATCATGTCTATCAGTTTGAAAATTTTGCCCAGTATTTGGTAAAAAAGTTTTTGAAATTAATTCTTCACTCCAGTAAATTCCTTCAGATATTAGCAAATTGTATGCCTTTAGTGTTGAAATTCCTTGATCAAAATATTTGCCGTTATTTCCAATCCAAACATGATTTGGCACCCTTTAACTATCCTCAATGTGCACTTTATATTGTGAGAAACGGAAGTGAGTTAGAAATAATTAATTAAAATTATGATTTTCCTTAATTAGACGAACGTCCACCACTAACAGCTGATAATGTTGATGGTGGGACTAATACTGAATCTCCTGGATACTTTCGTTGGAGAAATGTTTTTTCAGTAAGTGATAAAATTTTGTAGATTAAATTGTTCTTTTTAAAGGCAATTAATCTGTTGCGTGTTATAAATAAACTGGTTAAAGGAAAACAAGCACGTACAATGATGTTGGTTGTTTATAAATCGGCGCCTGTCCTTAAACGTTGCATGAAAGCAAAACTTGTCTGTTTTCTTTGAAAATAATTTAAGATAAAAACAATTTTTAAGGGAATATTTCAACTTTATGTACTCAAACTTCTCAAATTACAAGCACGATATTTGGGCCGGCAATGGCGCAAAACAAATATGGACATTATCTCTGCAATTTACATGAGGTGTAGACATAGACTTAATGATGATTGGGCATATGCAAATGAGACAACTCGAACAAAATCTTTCGATTACCATAAAGAAGAGAATGAATTGAGTATAGCCATAAGAAGATTTAATACAAGGCGATATCCATATCTTCAATTACGTGGTGGTATTGCTGTTGCGGACACTTCTAATGACGCTGGTACTGAATAATATGGGTACTTTGTTCATAAACCACCCCCACCCATATTTAAGTCTCAGATTAATTTTCCTTTTATTCTTTCCTGCCCCGGAAAGGTCAAATTTCCATCCTTAGAAATGATGATTTTGCTGTTAATTTGATTTAACTGCTGCTTCTATTTTTTCTTTCCAAATAACTTGCATTTTAATAAAATTTTTGATGGAAATAAATGATTGGCAATAATGAAGGAAAATTAATATGAGACTTAAGGAGGGGTGTGGAGGTGGTTTATGAACAAAGTACCATAACATGTATTTGAAAGATCATTAAATAATTTTTAGAACATCCGTATCAACAAAACAATCAAATTAGTGATATTCTTTCACACTCTTCAAGTCAATTGGATGAACTTGCTGGTGAATGGGACCCTAAAGTTTGGGAGCCTATGGACAATGTTTTTAGATAATTCTGTTTAAATCTAATTTGTATACTTTTCAGTCTCTTCAAACTGCTTTGGCCTGGGAACCAGTTTTTAGTGATCGTTTTCTCCAAAATTATGAGCAATGGTTGGAGCAAGAAGTATATGGACACCAAACTGATTGGGATGGATTATTATTAAAGTCACGTGGTCTTTTGGACATTTATTGTTGAGAGAAGATAAGTAAATATGTTTCTCATCTCATGTCAATAATACAATATTAACCTTTTTAGTTTTTTTGTTCCTACATATTTCTTCAGTGTTTAATCCATATTTTAAAGAAGGAAACGTTTTGTTCTGTTTTTTTTATAAGTTTGAGCTTTTTTCTCAATCTGGTCAAAATTTCAGTTCCGTATTATGTTGACAGAACATTACACCCTTTGGATTAACTGCAAACCACTAACATATTTACGCCTTGTTTATTTAATTTATTTTATTAACGTTTAAAATAATTATATTCTGTAAGACTTGAGTACTAATCTCCTGAAAATTAAATAGAAAGAACGATAAAAACGTGTTGTGAGGGGGTATGATTGGTTTTGTGGGAGTAGTATTTGGCATTCTTGGCTGTCGTTCAGATTATTAGGGATCCGCGAGAAACAAAACGCCAGAGGGCTATATATGACTATTCATCCCCTCTTTTTATTAAATTTCATTTCTCCTCATGTAGTGAACGACATATCGACTTTTTCTTAAGGAAAAAAAGTCGTTTTAAAAAAATCTACAATTATTCGCGAACGACTTTTTTTAATAAACAAAACGCCAGAACTACGTAAATATCGATGTTTTACGCCAAACGATTGCGAAACGACTTTTTTGTATCTCTTTTTCTCTAATTTCACATTATATTTCCTTTCTCTTTTTCTATTAATTTTCGTCTCTCTTGTTTTGTGCAGTCCATTTTTCTTGGAATCCAAAAACTTTGTAGGGCCATAACTTCCTTTATTTTTGTCTGTTCGAATTATTTTTGGCACCATTCGAAACAGCTCGAAAAGCTCCATCGAATGAAACATCAAACTTACAAAACATACTAATTTTGTATGTTTTGAATAATTAAAAGAAAACAATAGAAAAAAACGAAGAATTGATAAAAAAAAATATCATCTACTTGATTTGGGGTCGCTTTAGTATATTCCCACAGATTTTCCAGCGAAGATTCTGTTGAACATTTTCTAAAGAACATTTTCAAATGTAGTCGAATCTTGACTCTAGGCTTTTCTTGGGCTTTTTCGGGCATAGGGGGAAGTTAAAAACAAAATTTCAATAAAAAAATGAGACAAATAAACAAAAATTTATCAAAAAAAACTAAAAGCCAATGTCTCGTTTCACTCATTAGATTTGTGGCCCTAAAGAGGGCCGTTTGGGTGTGGCTGTTGTCGCTTCTATTCCATTAAGACTGCAATTCAAAGGTTGCCAGGCAGAATCACTTCAACAGCAAATCGCCCGAGCACGTCGTTGTAACACTTAGAAAAATGAATTAAAAAATTCCAAAAAAATAAGATTTAAAAAACAACCTCTCCTATTGTTTCCCCATTGTTGCAGCCGTAGGATGGAGTTCGACACACATCAAACAAGTTTTGATTAAACATAAAAAAGAAAAAATTTAGGAATGAAAAAAATTTAGCAACTAATTCTAGGATCAATGAAATCTGACCAATATTCAGATTTCTCAATATTCGGATACAGATCACTGAATATTGAGAAACCTTAGGGGCGGTTTTTTGGAGTAAAAAAGTTTATACAAACGATAGCTCATTCAAGTTTCAGGGTGCGAAATTCGGTTCGGGAAGTGTAATTTAACCCGGAAAGTAATTTACCCACAAATTATAATGCACCGAAAAACAAAATAACCTGATAATGGTTGCTGCTCCAAATGTCGTTGATGGTAAGTGTTTGCTTCTGAAAATTCACTACTACCATTAACAATAAGACTTCCAAATGTTGTACTAGGAGGCTAATGAGACAGGCATTAATTCTACAGCTTCAAAATTTCAATTTTTCTGCAATTTTCCTTCAAATTTCCTTTCCTACCTCCAAAGCCTTAAAAAAACTTTTGTAACCCCTAAAAATAAAAAAAATGAAATCCAATTTACAAAAAACCTCCTTACAAATTGAGAGACTGCACTGAACGAAAATTAATAGAAAAAGAGAAAGGAAATATAATGTGAAATTAGAGAAAAAGAGACACAAAAAAGTCGTTTCGCAATCGTTTGGCGTAAAACATCGATATTTACGTAGTTCTGGCGTTTTGTATTAAAAAAAAGTCGATCGCGAATAAAAGTAGTTATTCGCCGCGAATCGACGAAAACGTAGATATGTCGTTCACTATCCTCATGTATGAATATCCATGATTTTGTTATTTCATTTCGCTTTAGATTTATGCTTTTATAAAATTCATTTCTTGCTTCTAGGCTTATTTTTGTTTTTATTTAAGTTCACATTTTTCTTAAATCTCAGATTTTCTTTAAATTTTTTAACAACAAGAATTTAATTGTTATAATCGGTTTCGTGCACGCGAACGAACAACTATGGATGAATTTAATTTCAATTATGCTGACGCAGATTCCTATGAGAAAGAATTGGCTGAGTTCTATACATATTCGGAAATGGATGAATTTGCACTAAATTTTGAATGTTTTGTTAAATATATGCGAGAACAGAAAGTAACTTTTTACATTTAAGTTTAAAACCCTCCCTTGTTTTATAGAAAGAACCATTTTGGAATAAACTTACAAGGACTGAAAAATGTTCGATTATACAAGGATTGGCTGCTAGTTTTGACAGCACTGAACCGAAACAACGTCTTCAAGCTGCTCGGATTATTCTATACATTCTTCAGGCATTCTGGCTTTTTAAATCTAAATATTAAACTAATTTCTTAGGGTTCCTATGGAGATTTTTCTGAATTGGAAGGAAAACATCAAAATTCACAATCAAGCTGCTCTGATTGTTCTACCTGTTCTGAAGCAAGAGACCTGGAGAAAGAAAAAGCGAGCACTAGTGAATTAGAATTACCTTCAAAATTGTTTAAATCCGACCATGGAACGGGTGATTATGAATTTGATTGTTTGCAAAATGCAACTGCAAATGCTTATCTTTTATATGAGCAAGGAGTATTTCAGGTCTTTTTTGTCGTTAAAATCTATTTTACTAGTAAATGAGTTTAATGATATCTTTTACCACCGTTGGGCATTAACAGATCCGTTACTGAAGTTTCTTTCCCTATTGCGGCTTTTCCTATTTTATATTTTCTTTTAGCCCCTATGTTCACTTTTGCGTTTGGAAGTGTCTTTACCTTTTGAACGATATGCCGACCATTCTCGTGAATCTATTGTTGCTAATTCCCGCTCAACTTCTTGTATGGATTTAGCGACTGGTCTCAATGGAGGCGGTGGATCTGCTAGCGGAACTTTTGAAAGGCGTTCTAGACATACAGCTACTTTGGCCGATAATGAACGAATTCGTGTTGTTTTGAATTGTATATATCACATGGTTTATTTTTAAACATAAAATAAAGAGAATTTCATTTTAAAGGTTGAGTCTTTACGTCGTGATGAAATCATTTATAATTCAGTTTGTCTCTTATTTGAACAACAAACCCCGGGATATCAATCGCCGAAGTATACTTTCGATCTTCTTTTCGACGGGAATATTCACTCTCGCTTAAAAACGTTGAGGAAACAATTTATAACAGAATTAGGTTTTCATTTTTAAATCGGCTATACTTTTTTGTTTTATTTCTAGAGGAACCGTTGGAGCACAGCAAAATGCCATTAGCAATTATTTTGCTTGATATGATGCCTACTTTTGTTCGTGCCAAAAATCCTCATTATCCTATTAAGAAGGTTTAATTTATCTTTGGTTATCTATATTAATTTAAAATTAGGTCATTTTACTTTGCTGGAAAGTATTACTTACAACACTTGGCGGGATTGACTTCCTTCTTGAAGAGAAGACCCGTAAACGACGAGATGCTTTACTTGAATATATTGAAGATACGCAACATGTATTTTCTCTTTCTAAGCCTAAAGTTCGTGAAGAGGATATCAAAAGTTTTCTGCAAAATGCGCGGTTATAAATATTATATTTTATTAAATCAAATTCTCAGTTTCAGCCAAAAATATTTCAATTATCAATTACCTAATGATTCCACTACTTTGTTTGGTTTACCTATGCCTGTTCAAACAAGCGTTGCCGCTCTTCGTCGGAATTTATACACTTCATTGGGTGAAGTTCAGGTTGAAATTTTATTAGAGAACATTTAAGAACTTATTTTTAAGTTAAAAGCAGAGGAGCGTTACAACAAATATCCATTTTCCCAAAAAGAATTTATTGAGGAAACACCTACCGAACGATTATATTCACGTATATTACCTGAAATGGCGGAATATGTAATTGCAATACTTAAAGTTATTCTTGCATCGTTGCCTTCTTCTAAAGTGAATTTTAATTAATTTCATAAATTTTACTAATTTTCAGGCAAATAATGATGCAGTAATCATTCTGTCGGATGTACTCACGCCAGAAACTGATACAAATGAGTGAGTTTTGGATCCTGACTTTTGGATATTTAACATTTTTCTAGGGTTTTATCTAATTCAATAAGTCTCGATCTTGCTCATTTGGGAAGTGGGAATGTGCTTGAAGACAATATACGTGTGGCGATTGATATAAACAGACACAAAGAGGTCCCTTATTTTTAAATAAAGACTTCGATTTAAATATTTTTTAGTTAATTATCAAAGGAGCGTCTTCAATAATCATCTTGTTACTAAAGCATTTCCGTCTGAATCATGTTTATCAGTTTGAAAATTTTGCTCAATATTTGGTAAAAATTTTAAAAATTAATCTTTCAAATTTAATTCTTAGATATTGGCAAATTGCATGCCTTTAGTGTTGAAATTCCTCGATCAAAATATTTGCCGTTATTTTCAATCCAAACATGATTTGGCACCCTTTAACTATCCTCAATGTGCACTTTATATTGTGAGAAATGGAAGTGAGTCAAAAATAATTAATTAAAATTATGATTTTCCTTAATTAGATGAACGTCCACCACTTACAGCTGATAATGTTGATGGTGGGACTAATACTGAATCTCCTGGATACTTTCGTTGGCGAAATGTTTTTTCAGTAAGTGATAAAATTTTGTTGGTTAAATTGTTCTTTTTAAAGGCAATTAACCTATTACGTGTTATAAATAAACTGGTCAAAGGAAAACAGGCACGTACAATGATGTTGGTTGTTTATAAATCGGCACCTGTCCTTAAAAGATGCATGAAGGCAAAACTTGTCTGTTTTCTTTGAAAATAATTTAAGATAAAAACAATTTATTAAGGGAATATTTCAACTTTATGTACTCAAACTCCTCAAATTACAAGCACGATATTTGGGCCGGCAATGGCGTAAAACAAATATGGACATTATCTCTGCAATTTACATGAGGTGTAGACATAGACTTAATGACGATTGGGCATATGCAAATGAAACAACTCGAACAAAATCTTTCGATTACCATAAAGAAGAGAATGAATTGAGTATAGCCATAAGACGATTTAATACAAGGCGATATCCGTATCTTCAATTACGTGGTGGTATTGCTGTTGCGGACACTTCTAATCCCGCTGGTAAGGAGTAATTGAGCGATCATAAAATATTTTTTAGAACATCCGTATAATACTTCTGAATGCCAACAACAAAACAATCAACTTAGTGATTTTATTCTTACACATTCTTCAAGTCAATTGGATGAACTTGCTGGTGAATGGGACCCTAAAGTTTGGGAGCCTATGGACAATGTTGTAGAAAATCTTGTTTAAATCTAATTTGTATACTTTTCAGTCTCTTCAAACTGCTTTGGCCTGGGAACCAGTTTTCAGTGATCGTTTTCTTCAAAATTATGAGCAATGGTTGGAACAAGAAGTATATGGACACCAGACTGATTGGGATGGGTTACTATTAAAATCACGTGGTCTTTTGGATATCTATTGTTGATAGATATTTATTCTACTTAATTAATTCGTCTCAAATTCTTTTTTCTATCTTACTTTTCCTCCTTTAAATCACATTTTAATTTATAATTTTTTTTTTGTAATTTATTTTGATCGCTGAATAAATATTGAGTACGAGAATCGGTTAATTTCTTGTTAGCTCAATTGAGTTTGAAACTTGTTCATATTTTTTAGACTGTTTTACAAATATATTTTTTCTGGTTGATTATATCACTATAGAAAAAATTATTTCTTCATTGTACAGAGGTGTATCTAAATATAGCTTCTGCTTCTATCAAGTTTGGAAGATGCCGCCAAAAAAGAAGATTAATAGTTCGAGAAGTATTGCAACGCTAGGAGTAGCCGCTGTTGCTTCAAGAAAAGTTAATAATTTGAATACTTTGAACGCCTACAATATTCTAACCACTAGGTCTGGCCGCAATTAGTAGGTTATTTACAAATGTTTTTTTAATATTTTCTCCTTAATGCCTCCTCAAGACAGAAACTTCGCTACATTCTAATACTGTATCGTATAGATTAAATTTATGCCTTCTCTTTTTGTTTCCATTTCCTTATGATGTGCGCTCTTCGCCTCACTCATAACCTTAATATGTCCGTTTAATAGTTTGATATAGGGTAGCACCCAGAGTTTCGGGGGCTGGAGTGTACGGGTTCGGGTCGGGTTTTTGCCAAAAAAATGGTCGGATCGGCATTTTGCCCGCACGGGGGTGGGCGTCGGGATCGGGGTAGAGCCTTCGAGGTTTGGGTCTGGGTTTTTGCATAAAAATTCTTCGGGGGGCGAGGTGCACAATAGTTTAATAACCCAGGGGAAAATTTTGACCCCCCCCCCCCCCCCCCAAATACAACCAAGGTATGGCAAGAAGATCCCATCTGTCTTTTTACCAGTGAGTTGCCTGTTTCGATTTTTGACTAACGCTTTTTCCCTCCTTTTTCCCTCGCCTGCTTTCCTCTTCTGGGTTATCGTTGTGTTTTACCAATGAAAAATATTAGTGGTCAGTCAGTAGAATATACATATATTTTTGTTTGGCTAATTTTTTGTCGTTAACCTTCGCCCGAATCTCCATTTTAAAATAAACATTTAAAACTTTTACTTTTTTAGTGAAATGGAGAAAATGACTGGTCCCAAAGTTAAGGTATAATCTTGTTTTTTAAAGTAGTAGTTGATTTTTCAGGTAGTATTAAAGAAGCAGACTACTGTGCCTGCCAAAGTTGAAATTAATATAAATATCAATAATCTGAAAGGTAAAAAGAAAGAAGAAAATGTTGGAAAAATTGTGAAGAATACTGGAAAGGCTGACAAAAATAACGGAAAAACTAACGAAAAGCAAGGGGAGACTATCAAAAATAAAGGGAAGAATATTAAGAATCAAGGGAAGAATGTCAAAGAGCAGGAAGAAAATGTCAAAGAGCAAGGAACGATTGTCAAGGATCAAGGAAGAAGTGTCAGATCTACTAGAGCTACAACTAGACAGAACGGTCAATCCACTAGCAATAATAATGGAAATGATGAAACTTGGGAAGAAGAAGAAGAGAAAGAAAAGACTCCAAGAAAGCGAAAACATTTTCCTCTTTTTGAGAAAACTCCTGCTAGTCAGAAAAACAAGAAATTTAAGAAAGGGCAGCCATTAAAAATTTGGACTTGGAATGTTGCTGGGCTTAGGGCGAATGTTAAGGTTTTTTTTTTGGAATTTTTGAATAACTTCTTTAAAAAATTTTTTGGCTCTTGTCCAGTTTATGCGTCCCATGAAAGTATATGCGTCCCATCAACAAAAAATTGAATATTTCTTGGTGTTGCAAAGTAGGGGTATGGTTCCAAAGCATTTCTTAATATTCGGGACCTACGCCCACTGGGTCTGGGACCGTTCCTTACCCTATCCTTCGAAATTTCTGAAAGTTAAAATCGTTTTTCTGAAATTTTTAAAAATTGGCTATAACTTTCAAAAATTTCGAAGGATAGGGTAAGGAACGGTCCCAGACCCAGTGGGCGTAGGTCCCGAACATGAAGAAATGTTTTGGAACCATACCCCTACTTTGCAACACCAAGAAATATTCAATTTTTTGTTGATGGGACGCATATACTTTCATGGGACGCATAAACTGGACAAGAGCCAATTTTTTTTCAGAAAAATGGACATGTCAAAATTAAAGAATCTGATGCTGATATTGTTAGTCTTCAGGAAACAAAATGTCCAGAATTGCCTTCAGAAATAGAGGCTTTGGATGAATATTGCTTCAAAAAACTTGCTAAATCGACTAAGAATTTGGTACATGCTGGAGTTGCTATGCTGGCTAAAGAAATGCCTATTAATGTAATTCTTATAAAGTTGCTAGACTTGAGATTTATTCGTTTCTTTTTGACTTTTCCAAACTTGTAAACACACCTCTCATTTTTTCGACCCTTCTATAATGTCCCCGACCTTATACATATTTATTTCCTTATTGAACTTTCCTATTTATTTACAAAAAGTCATGTTCAAAATAAGGCGAAGGATTATTTACAAATTTGAAATTATTATTAAAAATGTAGGTTAAGGAAAAGATTGATAAGAAACTATAAAGAGAAGTAAATTCAAATAATGTTTTTGGGAAAATGATGTAAGATGATAAAAAGGAAAGAAACATTTAAAATATGTTTTGGGGGAATAGTTTGAATGATAAGGGAAAACATTTAAATAAAAAAGGAAAAAACATTAAAATAAAAATTACATCTTAAAAATAAAATCACCTTCCTGCTATTTTCTAAACTCTATTTACGTTCTCTTGTTTTCTTTGACCTGGAGATTTGTTCCTGCCCAGAAACAACTTTTAGGCTTCGACTGGGTTTCATAAATCTACACCTTCGTTTTTATTCATTTTTAATTCAAATTCTTATTTTTTAAAATAATATTTTTTTATAGGTTACCGTCGGTCTTGGAAACAAAGATTTTGACGGTTTTGGACGTTATATTGAAGCGGAATATAAAAACTTTTTCTTTATTTCTGTTTATGTTCCAAACAGCGGTGCTGGATTAGTTAATTTGCCAGCTAGAGGACGTTGGGATCAACTGTTTTTGACTCGTGTAATTGATTTGGATAAACGTAAACCTGTAATTATTGCTGGGGATATGAATGTTGCACATCAAGAAATTGGTAATTTTAACCTCTTATTTAAAATTATTTTTTTAAAGATTTACGCAATCCTGACTCAAACCGAAACAAAACAGCTGGATTTACTGATCAAGAAAGGGAAGCTTTTACTCGATTATTGGATGCTGGTTTTGTGGATGTTTGGCGTTCTCGTAATCCTGACGTGGCTGAGACTTATACTTATTGGTATTTTTTAATTATAATCGAACCTCTATTAGATAATTTATTGGGTCTGGAAATTTATCGTATAACGGGGTGTATCTTAAGGGTAACGCTTGGACAGCTCCCACCCAAAGGCAAACCAACTAGAGGTCGGAACGGGTCCGGGACCCGTTTCCCGGTTTTCGGGTCCTTTTCCCGGTTTTTTTGAAGCAACCGGGATGAGACCGGGAACGGGAATTCCCGGTCCGGGTCCCTCCCGGTCGTCCTTCAGAACCCGGTCCCGGTTTTTTCAAAATTCCGACCTCTACAACTAACCTAATAATTAATTTTGAAAATATCTAAATCGAGGTTCAACTGTATATTAAGAAAATATTTTCGGAAAAAATTCTAATTTTTAAACAAATTCTAATTTATTTTGCAATTTTTCAGGTCTTATATGGGCACTCGTCGAGCTAAAAATATTGGTTGGCGTTTAGATTATTTTGTTATTAGTGAACGTCTTTTGGAGAAAGTAATTGAATGTGAAATTCATTCGGATATTACGGGAAGTGCCCATGGAAGTGATCATTGTCCTCTTTCGTTAATTATTGATATTTAAATTTGGTAGAAACTGGAAAAAGTATTTTTTTTTAAATTATTTTTATTTGTTTAGAAATTAACACTTTTTAAAGGGTAACAATTTTTTTTAATTTTAGAAAATTGTTGTTCTTAGAAAGTGTTAATTTTTTTTAAATTCCTGGTAGTTGTCGGTTATTCATACACACAGATTTGTATTTTTATTTATTTATATTTATCAAAATTATCACTCAAAAATTATTTAAAATAAATTCTTTGGGTAAAAAAATTATTTTTTTGAGGGGGTTCGGTCAGAAAAAAAAATTTTTTTAGAAACCAACATTCCCTTTCAATATTTTCCCTATTAAAAATCAACTTAAATTTTGAACTTAAGTCATTCACAAAAAAATTTATTACAAATCTGCGTGAGGATAATCGACAAACAAAAATATCAAATTATTCGTTTTATCACTCAATTTTTCTTTTTTTTAAATAATTATCCTATTTATTATTAAATATCCAAGACAAGCCAATTTATTGTTTCGAATAGCTCACATTCAAAAAATGTTCGGTTAATTTAACTTTTATTATTGTTTTGAAATAAAAAAATATTTATATTTTTATTTTCTTTTATTTTAAATGTAATTAATACATTTTTTTTAAAAAATATTTTTGAATTTTTCAAAGTTTTTTTATTAGTGAGCGGAAAAATCGATTTTTTAGGACACGGATTCCGGATTTGCAACTTGAGCCGAACCGGATCCAGCCGATTTTTCGGGATTAACCTGGTCCGGACAAATCCAGAGATCGCGAAAAAACCCTGATTTGGGATCCGGACTCCGGAAAAATCCGGCTGGATCCGGTCCGGTTCCGCTCACTAGATTTTATAGCTCATTATTAGGTCTTTTTTTCGAAATCCTTGAGAATAAAATCTTTTGGGGTTTTGGAGATATTCCAAAATTATGAGCTTTAAAAAGACCTTTAAAATCATTTTTTACTTAAAAATCTTTTAAATTTAGAAAAGTTTGCATGGCGTCATTGCTTGACGCCAGTTTGCAACAATCATCTTCAAAAGACGTTCAACATCAATTTCAATTAGGGCAACGCCGGAAAGAAATTTACAAGTTTTTTTAATTTATTATTTTTTAAAAATTATTTAAAGATATTCTGCGCCCTTTGGTTTATACGCATCCGCTTGGTCAACAAAACCTGATCATCATTTAAAATTTCGTTTAGCAGTTGGAAGTTTTATTGAAGAATATAACAATAAAGTATTAATTTAAATTTTAATTAGTTAAGAATGGGATTTTGACAAAAAGAAAATTTTAAAATATTTTTAGTTTCTGGGAAGTATAGGAAATGGGTCGGAGTGGAAAAAAAAGTTGGGGGTTTTAGTCAAAAACTCCATTGTTCTATCAAGTTTCGGGTAACCGATTTGACTGAAATATAATAAATTGTGGAAGAAATTCTGGAAAAGAATGAGGAAATAACTAACGGACTAAAAAAGATTGAAATTTAATATAGAATAGTAAATTTATTTACTTGAAGAAATTTAATTAGTATTTTCGATTAAATTCTGAAAGGGGTGGTATTAAATGAAAACACCAATATTTTATTTTTCACAATCATTTTTAGGTTTCAATAGTTCAACTACAAGAAGAACAAGGAGAATTTGCACATATTGGGACATTCGAACATCCGTAAATTTTTTTCCTCTTTTTTTTATTAAATTTTATGCCCAACTTCCCCAATTTTTCTTCTTCTAGTTATCCAGCAACCAAAGTTTTGTGGATTCCTGACCCTAAAGGAAATTACCCAGATTTATTAGCTACAACAGGCGATTATTTGAGGCTTTGGCGTGCCAGTGGAGGAATTCAAAATAATGGAATTTCTTTGGAAGTTAGACTTGATAATGTAGGGGAATTTAAAATATTTTTAAAAATTAATTTTTTGTAGAATCGTTCATCAGAATATTGTGCACCTTTGGTTAGTTTATTGTTTTTTTATTTAAAAATGAAAATTAAATTTTATTCTTTAATTGAATTAAATTATTGATGAGTTTGGGAGGTGGAAATATTAATCTCTAGTGTTTTCTGGAAGATTACTTTAATGCCAGTCAAGGGCGTAGCAAAGAAAATGCCCTTTGATGCCAGTAATCACTCCGTTGATTTGGCATTTTTTTATTTTATTACCCGACAAGAAAAAAATTTTCTAAAAATTTTCCATGCAATCCGCAAAAAAATTTTTTTCAGAGAAATTTAATTTAAAATAATACTTAAATCAAAAATTGAATTTAAATTTAAAAATTATCAACAAAAAATATTTTTTTTTCGTTCCCTCCAGAAAATATTTTATTATTGCAAAGAATTGTTCTGAAAAAAATTTTTGACTAAAAAATTTTTTTTATAATTTTAAAAATAAATTTATATTCTCTCTTTTTTAAAGACATCAGCAGATTGGAATGAAATAGATGTTTCTTTGGTAAATAAATTTTAATTAAAAAATTGTTTTTTTTTCTAATTTTTAAAGATAGCAACATCAAGTATTGACACAACTTGTACAATTTGGCAAATTGAGGTATTTCAGAAAATAAATCAAAAAAAAATTTAAAAAAATTTGGAAATTTTTTTCTAAAGACAGGCCAAGCAATAACAACAACAGAACGTGCAATAGAAGGAAATGTTAAAGTAAAATATAAATTAAAAAATAATTAATTTTTAATTAAAAAAAGACACAATTAATTGCACATGACAAAGAAGTTTTTGATGTTGAATTTTCTAAACTTTCTTCTGGGAGGGATATTTTTGCATCTGCTGGTAAATTAATTTTTAGAATTAGTATTTTATTTTAGGATAATTTAAAGAAAAAACTTTATAAATTAAAAAAATGAAAGTAAAAGGGAGGAAATTGTGGGGAGAAATTTATAAAATTATTTTAAATTGGGATCTCTATTAACGTCCTTCCTCGGCCAATTTTTTTCGATGTAAGAAGGGGAAAGTGACATGGGAGTTGTGGGGGAACGACGTTATAGATAACTTCCATTTTTATCTCTTTTATTTACGAGCAACTATATTACAAATAAAATAACGCTAATATTGGTAGAAGTGATAAAATTAAACAAGAAGAATAAAAATAAATTAGGAAAAAAGAATATTTAATGGGAATATTTATTTTAATAAAATAATTTGGTTAAGAATTTAATTTGAAAGAAATTTTTTATTTCCTCAAAAAAACTTTAAAAAATTATTTCTTTTTGAATTTATCTTTTAAAAATATTTTTAAGGAGCTGATGGAAGTATTCGGATGTTTGGTAAATTTTACAAAAAAAATTATTTTTTTTTCTTAATCTCTTTTTAAAAAGATCTTCGCCATATGGAATATTCTACAATTGTATTTGAAGAACCTTCAAGAAAGCCATTATTAAGATTGGGTAAATTTAAATATTTTTGGGATTAGATTTTTTTTGTTTTTAAAGCCTGGAACAAACAAGATCACAATTTTCTTGCAACTTTTGCACAAAATTCTAATGAGGTTTTTCTTAAATTATATTTATTGGGGGAGAAATATTATTTTATTAAAAGAATGTTTTAGTATTTTCCTTTTTGCCCCATGCTTCTTTCGATTTTCTGTCTTTTTCTTGGGGTCAACAAAAATTTTTTTAGATTTTTTTACTTAAATATTTAAAGGATTTGATTTTTCAGATTTCAGACATTCCGTTTTTAAAATTAAAAAATGAGAGACTATTCATTTATTTTATAAGAAACCCTTTATTAAATAAGAGAAATTGTGGAGGGAATAGTTAAAACAAGAAGGGATATAAATTCAAATCCCTGGAAATATTTAAAAAAAATTTAAACGACCTTTAAATATTCTTAATTTTTTTAAATTTTCCAAAACGGAGTCTAAAATTTAAAAAAAATTTTTATTCAGATTTTTATTCTCGATATAAGAATTCCTTCAATGCCCGTTTCTGTCCTTAAAAATCATACTGGCTCTGTTAATGGAATTGCTTGGGCACCCCATTCAGCATGTCATTTAGTTACTGCTGGTTATATTTTGATTAATTTTTTTTGGAATTTTTAAATTTTTAGCAGAAGATTGTCAAGCACTTATTTGGGATGTGCATCAAATTAGGGGTTTGTTTCAAATAAATTTTGAAAAAAAAATTTTTGTAAAAATATTTTTAGCAGTGGAAGACCCAATATTGGCATATTTAGCTGGAGGGGAGATTAATCAAGTTTGCTGGTCAAGTACTTTAACCGATTGGATATCTATTTGTTATGATAAGAATTTGGAACTTTTACGAGTTTAGAAGAGAATAGAAGAAAAAAAACAAATTTTAATTGTATATATATGAAATGTAAATATTTGTAAATAATGACTAGTGATGGGAAAAATATGCACGCAATATTTCCCAAAATATACGCTAACGATGCATCGAAGAAATAATGAAAAGATGCTTAAAAAATTAAAATTTTAATTAAAAAACATTAATTTAGCCTTTAATTTTGCATTTTAAGAGCACTTTTAATCCATTTAAAATTTCTGAAAAAAGAATTCTTTGACCAAAAAATTCCAAAATTTTGAAATTTTTCGCCAATTTTTACACAAATTTGCCAAAAAATGCCGAAATATTGACCAAAATATGCAAAATTTCTCAAAATATGCTTGAGAAGGCCGAAATATGCATTAAGAACCGGACCTTAAATGCTCGGACCAACGTAAAAACACCAGTTTTGGACTTTTCACTTCAAGGCATTTTCCTATCCCTAGTCATCAGAATTTGCAATGATCATTTTTAAATTAGTAATAATTTAATTTAACAATGAGCACAAATGAAAAAGGGATTTAGATGGATTAAATGGGATATAAATGGATTAAGGGTGATATTGGGAGGGGGTTAATATGCTTTAATTTTTACAATTTGAATTTCACTTTTAATTTTCTTTCTCATTTTCTTCGTTTTCAATTTCTTCTTTAATCTCATTCAATTTTGTATTTGGTTTCCATTTGGATTTTTCCTTCTCTTCAGACTTTTCTTCAATTAACCAATCTTCCAATTTAATATCCTTCTCATTTTTATAAATATTTTTGTTTATTTTAATTTCAAATTTCCCAAATTTAAATTCTAATCCAGCTGAATTTAGGACATCTCTTGCCTTTGGCAATACATAATAAACACAAAATGGATTTAATATATTTACTATATTTTCTCCAAATGAATGTTTTAGTGTGCCACAAAAGTGGAGAATTCGTAAAAATTTTATGACAGATTCAATATCTTTTTCATTCTCCTGAAGAAATTATCTTTTTAGTGAACATTTTTATTAGGTATGAAAAATAAATAGTTACAGACCCCTAGACATTGTATAGGAAGGAAATATAGGAGGAAAAATTTTTTTTCTAAATGGATAAAAAAATCTGTTTGTTGTTATCGTAGGGTTAAAATGGCCTATGAAGTTGTTGGTTGTTGTGCTTTTATTTAGCGCAGAAACAAGTATTTTTGATATTTTTAACGGGTTCAGTTTATTCGAGTGTTCTCCAATTATGCAGGACAGAGGATAAATTCTCAATTCTAGAGCAAAAGTATATAGATTTTTGGAGGGCCATGAAACCATGAATTTTTATTTTTAAATGGTCAGGAAGCCAGAATTTTTTAATTCATGGAAAAATTTTCATAATAGTCGGGGTTGTGACTAGGGTTGTCGGCTTCACCAAATTTCTCGGTTAACCGAACCCGAACCGATAAACCAAACCGAAAATCTTCTGTTCTTCAGTTCGGTTCGAAACCGAAAACCCTAGTTGTGACAAAAATACATGTACTAATGTTCGGACCCATCCCATCCATAAATATTTTCTAAAAAATAAATTTTAAATTAAAAACCAATTTGTTAAGAATTTCCTTGAATTCCTTATTTGCTTTTTGAATATCATCGTTTTCATAATATAAAGTAAATAAATTTATTATTGTTTTTCCATTATCCTCTCCCTGATTTTCCTTCTCCAATTTATCTCCCAATTTATTATCCTCTCCCATTACCCTCTCCCAATCCCCCAATTTATCCTCTCCCTTATTTTCCTTCACCTTTTTTGTTTATATTTTTTAATTTGTTTGTCAAATTATTTTTTTCGTTTTCATCCTCTAATAAATTATTAACTAAACCAATAAATTTGTGCGATTCTATGTCGGAAGTGCATAAAATACTGAAGGAAGTAACATAATATTTTGAAATATTTTTATTTTCTTTTTTAATTGTTTGAAATATTTTTTCTATTTTCTCTTTTGAATACGCTAAAATTATTTAAAAAAATTTTTATTGAAAGATTGATTCAACTAAATAGCATTATTTAAAAAAGGGAGAAAAGCTAAAGCGGTCACTACAGTAAGGCTATTACGAGTAGTTGGAGGTTCGATTTCTGCCTGTTTGCTTTACTTTATTAAGAATGCTTTATAGTCTAAGTATCTTCTCGTGAAAGAGACCCAATACTTCTCTATTTTTGAGATACTATCATTATCCCCCCTCACCCCTCCCCCACTCCTTAAATACTTGTCCGCAATGTTCTTCTCTAGGAGCAATGTTATAATGTTTATCTTCACTTTCCTTCATTCTCATAAAGATTAATTTAGTAAATAATTTAATTAGAGGGGCCCACCCTAATTAAAAGAGAAGATGTTGATGGAAATGCGTGCGGTGAATAAATGCCAGAGGAATCGCAAGCGAGCGGGGTGTATGATTGTTGGTATACCACTTGGTCAGGCTCTAGGCCGACCGAACACTAGGCCATTGATTGAATAGGAACTAAGTTGGAATGAACGTCAACTAAGCCGCTTTTCCCTATTTTCCATTAGCTTATATGCACCTTCTCTCTAGGCGGGGTTTTTATTACTTTCTCAAGGATTACACCTTTAAGCCTTACAATATTAAATTTAATGAATTCATTAAGACATAAAATTTGATTCAAACTTATATGTTTAGAAAATAAACAAACCACAAGTTTGTTTATTTTTGCGAAAATTTATTTTTTGTTCCAGATCAGCTCTCCTTCGTTCACCTTTTTTCTTAATTGCCTCCAATTCTTCCGGAGTTATAATAATTTGTGCTTTTTTGGGGGGTGATCGTTCTTGGCTAGGAGGCAATTTGTGGCTAGAAGGCAAAATAACTCCTTCTGAGATTGGATTTATTTTTGACTTAATCTCAGAGTTGATTGTTTTCTTTCGTATTTTACCAGAACTTCCATCTTTATTTTGTCTTTCATTTTTATTTAATTTAATAGTGCTTGAAAGTTTAATTGAAGGAATAGTTCCTTCTGTATGTTTACATGATGTTTTTTTGAAATTAGCATAAGCTTTCTTTACACTATGATTAATAGCCACATTAAGAGTGATTATGGAGAACATAATTAATAAAAATATAAAAATATTCATTAGAAATATATTTTCGATTAAATCTGAAATTTTTATATTTAAAGTATAAAATGTAAAATACACAGGAAAAGTAAATATGGGAAGATTAACGAGGGTTTGAAGGAATATTCCATTAATTAAATTAATTTCTTGTCAAATTATACGAATTTTGTAACTTTTTCCCTCGAACAAAATTTTTTTGTCTTTATAAAAATTTAGAAAAAGCACCTCTGATAACTAAGTTATGAATAGTTGGAAATTTTCGGATATCCGGATCCGAAATATTTATTTTCAAAATTCCCGGCTGTCTCATGGAAGGATATAGAGGGATTAGGAGCAATTATGAATGGATTTGGGGATTAACAGAGTTATTGAGGGGATTTACTTCCCCCAAATTAGTGGATTTGGGGGAAGTAGTAGATACATTGGGTATTTTATTTTTTGCTGAATTAAAAGCTGGGATTGTGAGATTAAGAGAAACAATTTTACGGGTAACTGGTTAAAAGCCATCAAAAGCCCAGGTGCTCTAGCTACCGGGACGCTGCTTTCATCTTAACTTTTAATACTTGTTATAAGCCACCGCCTGGCAAGCGTTTCAAATTTTAATAAGCTGGAACTCGTTTCCTCTTTCAGAAAATAATAAAAAATATTTTTTTGAAAATATTTTTAATAAAATTAATTAAAAATATTTACTCTATAAATTTCTATTAATTTAAAAATAAAATTTTAAAATTAAAAATTAATTTAAAATGCTGAGGAAAGGAAGAGGAAATAAAATTTAAAAAATTTAATTAACAATCAGAGGTATGTGTAGTCGATTTTTACATTGACATTTATTTTAGACAATGGCAAACGAATAAACGGAAGTAATAATTTTTAAAAAATTGATTTTATTTTTAAATTTAATAAATTATGAAGAAATAATTATTTAATAAACATTGTTTTGAAAAGTTTAGATGTTTCTCTTAGTTTGTAAGTCACATTCAAAAAAGTAAGTCTATTCATTGTCGGCTTCAAGAGTCGAACGGTAACAAAAAAATTTTTCACTCTGCTGTTACGGAGAGATGGCATTGCGGAGATTGGCGTTCTCCCGTAAATATAAAATAATTTATAAAAATATTTTAAAGGCAAAATGTGCTTCTATTTTTATAATAAAGTTCATTTTGAACTAATTCATCCAGTAAAATCAAAAGTTTATGCCTGACAATTTTGATGCAAAAAATTGATAGAAAAAAGGACATTAAATCTTATAGTATTTTATTTAAGACAAGTTTATATCTAAAAAATTCCCCCAATACCCACATTGTTTAAAAACAAGTTGTAGATTTATTTATAGATTTATTTATATTTTTACCCCAAAGTTAACAACAATTTTTGTAATTTTTTAATCAGGCTTTTAGAATCCTCAAGCTTAATCGAATTTTAATTTTGGATGATTTGATTTTTAATGGAAAATCCAATTTCTTTATAACAATTCTAGTTGACTTCTCTTCCAAAAAATATTTTTTAAAGTCGGCGATACCTTCCCAAAGCTTTATTGCAAGAAGGACCTAAAATCAAAAATGTTAAAATTCTAATTTTTAATTACATGAGTGTTCAACATCCAAACAACAATTTAGGACAAAAGGCACCCAACAGAACAACCAAGGGATGAGGAACAGTAAAAAGCCAATGATAAAACAAACTACCATAATGCTTAAAATAAACAATTTAAAAATCTGCCTTTGTTATACCGTATTTTCTCGATTAATTCCCCTGGGGAATTAATCGAGAGGGGGAATTATTCGAGATAGATGGGGAGTCGAAGTATATCCTTTTAAAATAGTCAGTAACAAACAACTTATAATCAGGGAGAACCTGATTTTATTCCTCTGTTCGATGAGAGAAATAGAATAGATTGAGCTTCGAACTCCCAAATAAATACTAAAGAGACCTTTGAAATCTTAATTAAAATATTAAATTCTAACATCCAAGGCAGTATTCCAACTTTTTTACTCGTTTCAGTGACAATACGTTGACGGCATTGTGGACTAAATTTAGTAATTAAAATACTCCTTCGAGTTAATACAAATAAAGTACCAATCCATTTCAACAGGGTAAGGCCCAAATTGAGGAGTAAAAATTGGCCGAGTAGGTGGGCGTGGGGAAGGTGCTGCTGATATATTAGAATGTCGTTGTGGGGGTTGAGGTGGTGATATATTTGGTGGACGTGGGGACGTAGGCGGACGTGGAGAAGGTGGTGCTGATGTATTGGAAGGTTGTTGTTGTCCATTATTATTAGTAAATATAGAAGGCTAAATTTTTTTGGAATTTTATTTTTACAAAAAATAAACAAAATCCAACCCCAATATTCGGCTGATACGGCGGTGGTGCTGTTGGATATGGTGGACGTGTATAAGGAGGCAATCCTTAATTTGTAGAATTACCCGGGTCTCAATTTTGTTCGTACTCGTATTATGTACTACCACTATCTTAGCCTCATATTTTTTCATACAAACAAACCATATCTTTTATGTTTTTTGGACCCAAAGACATCAAAATTTAAATTTTAGCATATAATGTGCCAAGTATGAGCTAATTTTGTTTGTATTTATATGAAGTGCCAAACTTTGCGGATTCAAATTTTCAGGCACAAAACTCACGTAAAAAATAATACAAAAATCGTAAATTTGTATTACATAAGTATGAGCAACTTAATCGCTTAGGCATCTTTTCCCCCGAACTTGAGGCCAACCATAATGAAAAAAAGTTTACACTAAACTAAGAATTTTAAAAATATTTTTTTGTTTCCTTAATAATTTTCTTTTAAGATAATTTTTAATGTGGTCGCTAAGTTCGCACTAGAGATCGAGATTTTTGAAAAGCCTGGACCTGTTACTGGATTCTTGAGTTTGATTTATTGACCTGGGCCGGATCCTGGGCCTGTAGTCTAGGAAAAATGCCTGGACCTGGACTCTGGGTACAGGAAAAACCTTGGTCCAGGTCCAACTGATTTTCAGTTTGCACCACAGCTATTCTTTTTTGTAACCTTGACTCGTATCATGATATGAGTACGAAGCTTAGTAAGACCTGTGCATTGGTTAGTCATCTTTGCTGCTATACTTATTATTTAATTAGAATAGGTATATTTAATAATTATAGGGGAAAAATAATTTTTTAAGTAGAAAATAAACAGAAAATGCGAATAAACAATAAAATAATCAAGTCGAAGAAAAATTAAAATTTTGGGTTTTAGGTGAAATCAAAATGATTAAATAAAGATGTGTGAAATAAAATTAACCAACAAAAAATTTTTTTAAATAAAATTCCAATGTAATAATTGTGATTAAATAAAAACTGAAGGGAAATATTCTCACATAAACATCTAAAAAATTATAGAAATAAAAAGATCAATCTTCTTTTTAAACAAATTTGTAAAAAAGAAAGAAATTAATTGGAGATTTTTTTAATATAAAATATTTTTTATTTAGTAAATAAAATAATTTATTTATTCAACTAAGAAAAAAACGGAAGCATTTTCTTTAATAATTAAAGGAAGAATGTTAATATGTACAAGTAATAATTTTGATAAAAAAACTTCAAGAAAATTAAGTTCTTTTTTAAATCTGTTTTTATTTTATGTAAGTCTGGAATAAACAAGCTCACAGTTTTCTTGTAAATTATGCTCAGAATTCAAAGGAGATTTTTTAATTATGTAGGCATAAAGCTATTCAATTCCAAAGACTATGCAGGAGGTGGCATGGTGTAATGAATAAATAACACTCAATCCGGTCAATTGAAGATGCCGGTTTGTTCTTAGCCGCCGGATAACCTTCTGCACTAGCTGATGGGAAGAAATAGACATGGTCTAGTTCAGCTTCATTATTATTTTTTTATAAAGGAAAAATATTTTTAATTTAAATACGACGATTGAATTTTACAAATTTTCAACTTTTAAAATTATTAGAACACTCACTAAAAATTAAATTATTTCAAAAGTTAATTAAGTTGTGCTCAAAATTTTTATGGTTTATAAATCATAAACAATTAACAATTCTTCCAAAAAATTTCTTTTAAATTCGAGAACACCTTCCCAAAGGTTTTTTGCAAGAAGGACCTAAAAATAAACAAAAATTAAACGATTAACCCCACTAATTTACATGAATGTTCAACATCCATTCAACAATCAAGACATAAAGACATACATTAAAACAACAGTAATGAATGTGAAAAATCCAAGAAAAAACCAAATAAACATAATACTGAGAAAATAATTTTAGAATTAAGCTATTCTTTTGTATATTGAGAGCCAAGTTCGAAACAAATAAGATGTAGTTAAGTAACTGAATAAAGGTGGTAACTTATAAAATAAAGTACCGCATTTCCATTTTTCAACCCTCTTCCAAAGGACCGTACTATTTGAGGGGGCCGTACTATTTGAAGAAATGCGGTAACCGGTAAAAATCATTTTCTCTTATTTAATTGAGTCCAAATTTGGACAATCTTCCTGCTTGGTCCTTATGTGGATTTTTTGATTTTGTGAACTTCTAAGTCTAAACTTGCATATTTGAAACTAGGCTCTCTTATACTAAAGCGATCCCCTAAAATTTTAATATAAAATTCCAACATCCAGGGCATTTTTCTAGGTATATTACGCGTTTGGATGACAATATGTTGCCGACAATTTGAACTAAATTTAAATATTGAAACACTCTTTCGAGTTAAAAATTTACCAATCAATTTCAAGAGGGTAAGGTCCAAATTGAGGTGTAAAAACTGGACGAGTTATGATGGGTGAGGGTGGGAAAGGTGCTGGTGATATATTAGAAGATTGGTGTTGTCCATTATTATTAATAAATATAGAAGGCTAAATTCTTTTGAATTTTATTTTCAAAAAATTAACAAAATCCAACCCCAATATTCGGCTCATACGGCGGTGGTGCTGATGGGTATGGTGCACAAGTAAATGAGTTAGGAGGCAATCCTTAATTTGTTGAATTATACGGGTCTTGATTTTGCTTCCTAATTTTAATTCCTAGCTTGTACTTTTTCGTATCTAAGATACTATGTGAAAACAAAACAAGATTTTTATTATTATACAGTTTAGGAAATCCAAATTTAAATTTTATTTATATAATGTGCCAAGAAAAAACTAATTTTGTTAATACCCATTTTTATGGCCTTAACTCGTATTAAGGTACAAAATACAAATTTTTGTACAACCTGTGCATCCGTTATCCATTTTTGTTGCTATGTTAATTATTTAATTAAAATATATAATCTTTATAATAATTATGAGTCTATAGAAAATAAGCAGAAAAAGGAGGAGTAAACGATAAAATATTGGGATTGGATTAATTTTTGGATTAATTTTGGATTAATTTTTTTATTTTTTTGAATGAAATAAAATTTCAAATGGAATATATGTAAATATAAATTAACAAAAAATCACAATTTTTTTGTAACTTTAGGTTAAACTTTTGAAGGTGTTTAGGAAACTGGTTTTGACCTTCCCTAAATGATTATATAGGAAAAGATTAAACTCCAAATTTGTAAAAAATATTTTTACAGAGTATTCTTTGCATTAATTAAATTAGAATCTTTATTTCGTAAATAAAATATTTTATTTAAAAAACAAAAGTGTTTTTTAATTAGCTAAAAACTGCCGCTAAAAGGAAAGGTATTCTTAATGGCAAAATTTTATTCCCCAAAGCAGTTTAAAGTAGAATCTGAAATTAAATTTTTCCAAGTTTTCAGCAAATTTAGCGGCAATTTTTAGGGCAATGAAATTCTTTCAAAATTTAAAATTTTTTTAAAAATTTATTTTTATCAAGTATCAATTCTCCCAAAAAAAAATAATTTTATTTTGAAATGCGAGAGAACCTCCCCAAAGGTTTTTTGCAAGCTGGACCTTAAAAATAAAAATTTTGTTTTAATTTTTTATGATTTTAATTACATCGATGTTCGACGTCCAGACAAGAATCCACACAGAAAGGGATCCAACAAAGCAATATACAGCCAAGAAAAAAGCAAAGTCCTGTAATACTAAAAATAAATGATTTTAAATTTCAATAAAATTTTAAGATTTTCAAACATCCAAGTCAGCATTCCAGACGTTTTAATAGTCTGCGTGACAATGTGCGATCGACAATATGGACTAAAAAACAAATGTTAGGATTAAAAGTCGGTAAAAAGTAATTTTGGGAGCATTAACAGGATTTTTTAAAAATACCCAACTTCCCTACTACACGAACTGGATTAGAAGCACAACGTTAGCTTCATGCTAACATTGTCAATAAATGCAAAAAATAACAGTTAAAGCGTAAAAGTGCCGGACCACTCCGAATAAAGATACGAGTCATTATAGCCATAATATCGTAATTTCGAATTTTTACCCCGAATTCGACTTGGTCGAATTCGGGTCCGAGATTCGAAATAAACAAATTCTAAGCTCAGATTCGGACTCCGCATGGTCAATTACCGAACTAAAATTATTTTCAGGAAAAAAATAATAATTTTTAAGGTGTTTTTAAGGTGTCTCCCCAATTCTTCACGATTACCATGAAATATAGCCTAAACTTAAAGGTTAAAAACCTAGAGGCTTTTAGTGAAAATAACGACAGAACAAAAGAGTTCCGCCGATATCCATAGTTAATTTAGGAAGTTTGTTGTCTTCACAAATTTATTAAAATAGTTTTAGGGTAAATTAAAAAAAAGAGAATACCAATTCATTTTAAGAGGATAAAGTCCAAATTTGGATGTAAAAACATCAATTGGACGTAAAGTTGGTGTATTGGAAGGTTGTTGTTGCCCATTATTAGGTCTAAACGACTAATTTTTTTTTTAATTAAAAATAGACAAACAAAGATCCAGCTCCTAATGCTGGTGGTGGTGGTCGAGGTGGTAGTGTAAATAAGGGAATTCCTTCTTCTGTGGGATTGCCCGGGTCGTTGAAAGTTTCTGAACAATGTGGTGGAGGTGGATCCATTTTTTGTTGTTAATTAAATAAAATTAAATAATTAACAGAAAATATTTTTAGAAAAAACTTTTAAGTTAGTTCTGTAAATAAAATCAGTTTTTAAATTCTGTACATATGTATTTATTAAAAGGAGGTAGAATAAAATTTAAAAAATGCAAAAAATAAATTAATACAAGTGGATAAATTTTAAAAAGTGATAATGGAAATAGTGAAAATAAAGTATTCGAAAAATAATAGCAAAAAAAAATGACAGCTGTTTAAAAAACTGCTGCATCCCTCTTAATCAAATAAACAAACTAGAAATAAATACTGTCAGATCAGACAAATATATAGGTATTTAGTACTTATCCCTTTCCCCCCCCCCCCCCCCCAGTCCGCGATTTAGTTGAAGTACTAAATGGACAGTCATTTTTCCTTACATAATTTTTAAAAAATTTCCCTGTAGTTATGCACCAGGGGTGTGCCGAAAGTGATTTTAAAAAGCGAAAGGCGAAAGACGAAAATGCGAAAGTGATTTTAAAAAGCGAACGGCGAAAGGCGAAAGACGAAAGTCCAAAAAAGGCGAAAATCGGCGAAAGGCGAAAGACGAAAGGCGAAATTTTTCAATTTCCGCTATGAGTCTGAGATTTTTTGGTCAAGTAATTTAAAAGCCTTATTAAGTGTTCCAAATCTACAGATAACTTTCTTAAATCAATTAATCGGAGATATCAGGGAATTTGTAGGATTAAGAAGGATATCAGAAGAGTTGGACAAATATCAGGGATTTAAAGGGAAGTCAAAGGATATGTCCAGAAAATTTGACGTTGATTTTTTATTTTCCGATCTCTAGACTTTTCCCTTCGTTGTCGTGAAAAGAGTCTGAGAATCCTGGGAAATCCCTGGATCGGATGCCGAATAGGAATTTTATTAAATTGTGAAGTCTCCGGCGACCACTGTGATTGAAAATAAACTGTACTAACCTTTTTCAGCGCCGCAGGCAAAAATTTTGAGAATTTTGGAAGGCCTAGCAGCCAGATTTCTTCATTTTTTGCGCCGCAGGCAAAAATTTTGAGAATTTTGGAAGGCCTAGCAGCCAGATTTCTTCATTTTTTGCGCCGCAGGCAAAAATTTTGAGAATTTTGGAAGCCCTAGCAGCCAGACTTCTTCATTTTTCAGCGCCGCCTAGCAGCCAGATTTCTTCATTTTTTGCGCCGC